TCCCATTAAACCCTTTCAGGCATTCTCCAGGCATTCTCCATTTCAGTGAGAATTAAACAATTGTACTTAACAAGCCTTCCAGCTTCCTCCTCAACCTCAGTGTTGCCCTTGTGGAACTCAGCAGGGAGACAAAGCCAGAATGAGTTCATTCTGCCTGCCGTGGGCTCTGGCGCCACCTAATGTCGGGCTCCCTGGCTTCTGCCCTACCGGGACCAGCCACCCCAGCCCTTCTCCTGTTCATCACCTTTCAAATCCAGGCCCACTCTTTCAAAATGCATTGCAACCCTTTTTAATTTGGACCTGGTTTTCGTACCTTAAAAGGAGGCCAGTTGGAAGGGGGTTGTCAACTTCTGTTGCGATTTAGCTCTTTTTGCATTGCCTGTTGCATCTGGGTCTATTGTTAACCACCTGAGTAAGGTAAAGGACCCCTGACAGTTAAGTCCAGTCGTGAACGACTCTGGAGTTGCGGTGCTCATCTCACTTTACAGGCCAAGGGAGCCGGCGTTTGTCCGCTCCGCAGACAGATCTTCCGGGTCATGTGGCCAGCATGACTAAGCCACTTCTGGCGAACCCGAGCAGCTCACAGAAACGCCGTTTGCCTTCCCGCTGGAGTGGTACCTATTTATTTACTTGCACTTTGACGTGCTTTCAAACTGCTAGGTTGGCAGGAGCTGGGACTGAGAAACGGGAGCTCACGCCGTCGCAGGGATTCGAACCACTGACCTCCTGATCGGCAAGCCCAAGAGGCTCAGTGGTTTAGACCACAGCACCACCCACGTCCCCTAACCACCTGAGTAGGTTGTTGTTTTTTCATAATGCAAATTTGCATAGAAACAAACAAACCCTCCTTAAACGTTCAGCTGTTTGGTTATTGGTCATGGGCTGTTTTTGGGGAGAGCGAATAAATCTGCCTTTGCTTATGGATTGTGGGCACGGACTCCTCTCTATTTCCCTCTGGCATCTGTTCCTGGGGGGAATGCAAGCACCAGCCTGCTAATTACCCTTGTTAAGTACAATTTTGTCCCTGATTTGTTATTGTGCTGGCCTCTCCTTTATGCAGAAGCAATCAAGGATCTGTGTGATGATCATCTTTTGAGCTATGTCTCCCATAATTGGTTTCCTGAAAATATATTAACTTGTTGCCTTTTGATGTGAAAGGAGAAGGGGGGGCTATTTATTTCCCTCTCTTTAAGGCACTTTATAATGGGACGCGGGTGGCGCTGTGGGTAAAAGCCTCAGCGCCTAGGACTTGCTGATCGCATGGTCAGCGGTTCGAATCCCCGCGGCGGGGTGAGCTCCCGTCGTTTGGTCCCAGCGCCTGCCAACCTAGCAGTTCGAAAGCACCCCCGGGTGCAAGTAGATAAATAGGGACCGCTTACCAGCGGGAAGGTAAATGGCGTTCCGTGTGCTGCGCTGGCTCGCCAGATGCAGCTTGTCATGCTGGCCACGTGACCCGGAAGTGTCTCCGGACAGCGCTGGCCCCCGGCCTCTTGAGTGAGATGAATGCACAACCCTAGAGTCTGGCAAGACTGGCCTGTATGGGCAGGGGTACCTTTACCTTTACCTAAGGCACTTTATATTTAAAGCTGTATTTAGACAGATGTTATGCTATGTTATGTTATGTTATGTTGTTATGTTATCATTACAAGCTATTATTATATTATATTATATTATATTATATTATATTATATTATATTATATTATATTATAATATTATATTATACTATACTATATTATTATATTATATTATATTATTATTTATATGACAGCCATGGCTTTCCCCAAAGAATCCTGGGAACTGTAGATTGTTAAAGGTGCAAAATTAACATTCCTTATCAGTATTTATTTGTACATAATATATAAAGTCCTATATGGCCTCTGTCCTGTATACCTGAAGGAGCGTCTCCACCCCCATCGTTCAGCCCAGACACTGAGGTCCAGCTCTGAGGGCCTTCTGGCGGTTCCCTCACTGTGAGAAGTGAAGTTACACTTTTATATTCTGATTTTACTCTGTGAATAAAATCCTATTTAAAAAATAAATAAAATATTTGTACATAAATTCCATAAAGAAATAAAATAAAATAAAAAACAAGGCAGAGGGCATAACCAGTTGCTGGAGAAACATCTCAAGGATGACGTGACGTGGACTGAGGCATGTTCTTTGATCTCCTTGATCTGGAAATGAAGCCTTATGAGGAAAGGTTGAAGGAGCTGGGTAAGTTTGGCTTGGAAAGCAGGAGATATGAGAGACATAGTCAGATATCTGAAGGGCTGCCACGTGGAAGATGGAGCAAGCTTGTTTCCTCCGGCCCTGGAGGGTAGGACTCGAACCCATGGCTTCAAGTTACAAGAAAGAAGATTCCAACTAAACAACAGGGGGTTGGACTCGATGGCCCTTGTGGTCTATTCCAACTCTATGATTCTATGATTCTAAGAACTTTCAGGCAGTAAGAGCTGTTGGAGAGGGGAACGGCCTCCCCTGGAAGGCTCTCCTTCCTTGGAGGTTTTTAAGCAGAGGTTAGCCATCTGTCATCGATGCTTTAGCTGAGATTCTAGCATTGCCAGGGGGGTTGGACTAGATGACCCTCGGGACCCAGCTCTATAGTTTTAAAATTCTATGATGCCTCATTCTCTCTGCTTTCATTGGAGCTACAACAGAGATATGGAGGAGGGTGGTCTGCAACACAGAAGATGGCTGAGCAATAATGACACACGTCCTATGCACAGTTTGCCCGAAGCTCGTTCAAGGCGGATGGGACTCTGGCTCCTTGGGCAGTGAACCATGTTGATCGACTTAGTCAGTGGAGCCTGTTCGGAGAAGGCTAAATGGAGGCTGGCAGTGTGACAGCGGCGGTGATGTTAAACTTGTTCAGCCGCTGGGAAAGGGAGAGGACTTGCCGGCCGACCCAAAGGAGGTGTGCTCAGCTTGGTTCTGAGTTTTCCCTTAAAAAACGTAACCCAACAACTCTCTCTTCTGTTGCAGTGAAGGTTAAAAGGCCTGGAAATCCGAAAGAAGAGCGCTTACCAAATTATCACTTAATTGAAAGAGCGAGCTGCGTTGCTGCATAGCAATGAAGCCCATGAAAATGGGAAATGAAAAGCTAAAAATCTCATTCATCTGCAGCAATTTGTCAGGCGAGCTGCTTTCATCAAAGGACACATGTCTCAAAGCCTTATAGCAGAGTGGGAACACCCACCGGCTGCCTAAGATCCGGGATACGGCCCTGCCAGAGGGCCGGGCATCCCATAATAGTGTGGCAGATCTGCAAAAGAGGACAGAATTTGAATGCCCTTTTAAGCTATGAGCTGGGATGGTTATTCCACTAGTTCGAATCAATCCATTTGGAGGTTCTGGTCAGGAAAGGGCTTGAGCAACACCCTCAGGTACCCGGTGGCAGATCACAAACACAACACGCAATTATACAATTTTAACAGTCCTGGTGCCCTATGGTGCTGGAGGAGACTCTTGAGAGTCCCATGGAAATCAGCCCTGAGTGCTCACTGGAAGGACAGATCCTGAAGCTGAGGCTCCAATACTTTGGCCACCTCATGAGAAGAGAAGACTCCCTGGAAAAGACCCTGATGTTGGGAAAGATGGAGGGCACAAGGAGAAGGGGGCGACAGAGGACGAGATGGTTGGACAGTGTTCTCGAAGCTACCAGCATGAGTTTGACCAAACTGTGGGAGGCAGTGGAAGACAGGCATGCTCTGGTCCATGGGGTCACGAAGAGTCGGACACGACTAAATGACTAAACAACAACAACAATCCTGGAGAATCCTGGAAACTTTGGTTTGTTAAGCGTGCCAAGAACTGTGGCTCTGTGAGGTCAGCATCCTTAGCAAAATACAGTGGCACCTTGGTTCTCAAACGCCTTGGTTCTCAAACGCCAAAAACCCAGAAGTAAGTGTACTGGTTTTCATATGTTTTTTGGAAGCTGAACGTCCAATGCGGCTGTGGCTATTGTTTCACAGAGTGTCTGCACCAATCAGAAGCTGCGCCTTGGTTTTCGAACATTTCAGAAGTAAAACAGACTTCCAGAATGGATTAGGTTTGTCGCTTTTGTTTTTGCTATTTATTTGCATTTTTGTTTTTGAGGCTTTTTCGGTTAATTTATTTTTGTGACTCTGTGGAACCCAGTTCCACTTCTGATTGATTGTGTGACTGCAGAAATGGATAAAAGCCCCCCATCCAAACAATGACTATCATCAGTGCAGGTAAGAAAAAATAATAATTTTCATTTTTATCATCTACAATACTATCGTATTTATTTTATAGTACAGTACAGTGATTATTGCTTTCATTTTATGGATCCATGGTCTCGTTAGACAGTAAAATCCATGTTAAATTGCCATTTAGGGGTTGTTTTTAAAAGTCTGGAATGGATTGATCCATTTTGCATTACTTTCTAAGGGAAAGCACGCCTTGGTTTTGGAACGGACTTCCGGAACGGATTAAGTTTGAGAACCAGGATACCACTGTATATTGTTTTAATAATATTAAGGTTTAATTGCTTTTTAACTATTATCGTTTATATGTTTTATTTAGCTTCCCTTGTCTCGGTTGCTTTAATTTGCGTGAGAAAAGCCAGGATATAAATAATGACAATTAATAATACCAGGGGAAATCGCTTTACGTGGCTAGCAATACTGCCTGCCAAAAGAATAGAAACAAAACACGTTGTATTAAGTGAAATTCCCACTGAGTCGCTGATTCATTTATTTTTCCTGGGGCCTTTAAAAAGAGTGTTAACCACCAAACAGATTTGGAAATGTGGAGAACTGGAGGAACCCAAAGAGTATATTTCTGCATCCTTAACGCCAAAGACCTCCGAGCCCCTCCTGGCTGGGGAGCCGCTGGGGGCGGGGCAGGCAGGCAGGTGGGGGCTGTAAGTGGGCGTGGCCTGCTCCGTCCCCGCCCCTCGGCCGTCAGCTGTTGCTAAGCGGGCAGGAGCTCTGCCCGCGGATTGGCCGCTGCGCCGCGGTATATAAAGCGGGCGCCGGCGCGGGTGGCAGCAGTTCGGGGCGCTCGGCGGTGGCGGCTCCGGGATGGTGGCTGCACCGGCGGGGGGGCTGCAGCAGCAACAACAACGCCAGCGAGCGAGGGGCAGCAGCGCCAGGCGGGCGTCGCGGGGCGCCTTCCCGGTGAGCTTCCCCGCGGGGGGAGGCGGGCGCTTGCAAGGAATCGCGGCGGTGGGAGGGGGGAGGAAGGCAATGCATGGGTGCTTCCTTTGCATGTGTGGGTGCGTGCATGTTTGCATACGGGGGGTGGGGGATAGGGGCCTCGGCGGAAAGCTAGGCCCGCACCCCAGATCCTTTTGCAAAAAAAATAAATGAGAGGCGTAGTTTAAAGGGGGGCGCGTGGGAAGCCCCTATCGCCACCACCTCTCTCTAGACGAGCCTTGGCGGTTGCAGAAAAGTTGCGGAGGGTGCAGAGGCGGAAAGTGCGGCGCCAAGACCCCTCGATCCGGCGGGGGCGGGGGCCCGTTTTCCCCCCCTTCCCCCACCCGCGCCCCTCCTCCGCCACCGCGAACAAAGGAAGAGGCCGGCTCTGCGCACAGCCGAGCTGCTGCGGCTGCAGCCTGGTTGGTGGGGGGAAGGAAAGAGGGGCTGGAGGTGGCTGCTGAGGTTGCAAAAGCCGCGCCTGCGTTGCATGCATGCGTAGCAGACCCGACCCCCCCCTCAAAAAATATATGCACGCATAACTCCAGTGCATGGGGCGCGGTTCGGGCAGCCTGGTGTGGAGGGGGAAGGGTCCTCGTCGTCTGTGTCCCCCACCCAATTGAAAGGCCTGGTATAGTTGGCTAAGGTTGAATTGCAACCCCCCCCCCGATCCCAGCCCCCTCCAGACTTGCGTGGTTCAGGCATCCTTCTCTCTTCTCCCTCCTCGTAAAATCGGTCTTTTAGGAGAAGATTTGGTGGGGGGGGAGGTCCCTGCCCATGGCTGTGCATGCATGCACGCACACACACCCCACCACATTCTGCGCCATGTGCCTCCGAGCACAGAGCCCACCCTCTGCTCACGTCGCCATCCCAGCGCATGCAAAGACATGCGGGGCCAGGGCAGCGCACTCTCCTCGCAGCTCTTACTCAGTCGCGTCCAGCTCCCCCGGGAAAAAAAATACAACTGCGCCCAGAATATTTCCTTTTCCTCCTCCTCCAACAGCCCTGCTCCCATCGTCCCAAGCCAAACAGACCCTCTGTTTGGACAGAGATAAGGAACCTGTCAAAGGACTGCCTGCTCTGTCTGTGCACGTTTTGCCCCCCCCCCCCATGTCACGCACCGAAGGTTCGCATTGCCCCACAGCTGTGGTTGCATTTGTGCAGGGGGTGGAGTGGACAGGAAGGGGGTGGCAGGATGCCTTCGGCAGACAACTGCGGACGCTGGGAGTTGGGGGCAGCTGGTTGTGTTTATTTCTGGCCAGGGGGGCTGTTCGTTGCATTTCCCCGGGGATCTAATTTGCAGAATCTGAAGGAGGCAGTGGAGAAACTGAACTGAATACCCCAGGGTTTGCTTGCGAGGGGGAAGGGGCTTCCCAGGGGGAGGGGAGAGAGCTTTTGATGCCTCCAGCCAGCGGAACATCATTGGCTGGGGAGAGATGCTCAATTTTGGCAGCCTTGGTTAACTGTCGGTTGGCAAGCATAATGAGCCATTGAGTGCTTGCCCGTCTGTGTGTTGCTTGGTGCTACCCGTCGCTGTTGGTGTGCCGGACGCTCCCCTTGGCGTCGATGTGCAAATGATCTGCCCTCTTGATTCCGTTCTGGCCAGTGGGGTTTGCGTGAATTGTTTATGGTGGTGGCTTTTCGGACGCCGGGGACTGCTTTGCCGCAGAGCTGCTGTGTGGCTCGAGATAGCCAGGTTTCTCCTCCACCATCAAGGGCTTTTGGCACAAATGGGATTATGTAATCCTCTTTGCCCGCAGACTGGAATGGACACTGGATTAGAAACGCAGCTGGTACCCTTCTGGGAGGAGTTGTGGCTGAGCAGTGGGGCAACTCTTCTGCATGTAGAAGGTCCCACCTTGAGTCTTGGACGTCTCCAGGCACAGCTGGGGAAGAGTCCCTGCCTGAGAATCCTGGGCACTGAATATTGGCAGTGCGGCCCAATGCATAGAGCAGCTTTCTGCGCACATGGTGACAGCCAAGTGGAGCTGAGCTGTAGACCAGGAGACATCTAGAGCAGTCCCTTGAGCTTCTGCTGCCTTGGAGGTAAAGTGCTGTGATGTAAAAACGGGCCTTTTTAAGTGAGTGTTGTTCTCTTTCTGCCCGTAATAGCGGCCCACCCCTCTCTTCCGAGCCAGGGAATTATCGTGGGACTAGATCCATGCTCATAAGTGATTAAAGCAACCTCAAAGGTCCTGTAGTCCAACCCATTTGAGATGCTGAAGATTCCCACTGCTACAGCATCCCTGATGGGTTGGCATCCAGCGCCGCTGCATAATTGTCTCGATGAACAAGAGACTGCCGCTTTCTGAGACAGCCTGTTCTGCTCTCGAACAGCTCCTGGGCTGGACTAGATGAACCTCAGGGGTCCCTTCTAACTCTACAATTCTTCCAGATGCCAAGTCCCCAATCCCTTATTGGTGGCTTTTTTTAATATGCTTGTTTAGGGACAGTGCGCCTCCAAATACCAGTTGTCTGGGGTAGAGTTGCAGCATCCCTGTGTTCTTAATCCAGAGGAAAGGTTGCGCAGTGACTTAAACTGTGGCTGTCCCTCCACCTGGTAGAAGGCTTTATTGGGATAAACCCCACTTCCGCCCCTCTCACTGTGGACCTAATGAACTGGCCTCCGACTGGGAGTATGAGCGGCCTGCAGCCTCTTATCTTCTATTCCATCTCTTTTTCAAAAAAACATGCTTGCAGAAGCCTTGTGACTTTGTGTCACTGCTGTCTGGGTTGATGACTAGCGCTGTGATTTGTGTGAGTCGTTCTCCTACCCTGACTTGGTTTGGTTCTCAGAGATTTATGCTCCGTGCCAGGAGAGACTGAGCAGATCCAGCTACCTGGCTTTTATGGGGAGGGGGACTGCTTTTCCTTTGAGAGAGGATGGTGTTCAAAACATGCTCAGGATAAAAAGCGCTCCGTCTAGACCCGATACGGGGTTTTTTCCCTCTTTTTTGCAGTGATTTCTTCAGAGGACGGCAAAATCTACTTCGACATTGCAGAGAGATGACTTTGACACTAGCTGCATTCACATGCCGTTTCGTTTCTCCAACTGTTAATTTCCTCGTTATATCTGAGCTGCCTTCACACGGCTTTGGAAATATAGCGGAATATGGCACTCATTTCCGTGTCGTTTGCTTATTTTTTCCCCCTGGAAGCAAGTAACACCAAAATGAGCTCTGCATTTGTGCTATATTTCACTGTTTATCTGGAAGTGGGGTTTTTTTTTTGTCTGTGTTGCCCAAGCTCAAGATATAATGCCGCAATTAGCAGGTAGGGAAACATCAGGAAAATAGAGTTAATGGTTGTGTGAGTCCAGCCACCATTGTGTCGTGGTTCTTAGTCTCTGGGGAATAATAGCAGGATAGATGCTCTTGCACTGAAGCTCTAATACAGTGGTACCTCGGGTTAAGTACTTAATTCATTCCGGAGGTCCGTTCTTAACCCGAAACTGTTCTTAACCTGAAGCACCACTTTAGCTAATGGGGCCTCCTGCTGCTGCCGCGCCGCCGGAGCACGATTTCTGTTCTCAACCTGAAGCAAAGTTCTTAATCTGAAGCACTATTTCTGGGTTAGCAGAGTCTGTAACCTGAAGCGTATGTAACCCAAGGTACCACTGTACTGCTGTGTAAAGGGCTCTTTTCTCTGTCCTGACTCGGCTACCCCAGTTTCCCTGGATGGCTCCGAGTTCTAGTCCTGTACAGGACGACGACGTCACCTTTTAACTGTGCTTACATTCAAGTTCAGAAACTGCAGTTTGGGTCAGAGAGGGCCCCCCCAAAATGGCTGGCACCCAGCGGCTGTGAAGCGCAACAGCCATTCTGGAAACGTTAAAACGGAGCACCGGAAAATCGAGCTGGCAAGCAGTTAGCATTGATAATGACAGATCTGATTAAGGGATCCCACATTAAAAGCCTGTCAAAACCACAATGGTCTTAAAAAATGTATAAACCTCTGGCATTTCCATAACTTTAGTCACATTTTTTTCTAGATCAAAAAGCCCAAATGTTGTAAGTCTCATAGGGGACTTGCCAGATTCCCAGCCCCCTTTTTAGATAAGGCTACTATTAATGCCATCTTCAGTGTGGCCATGCCATAGATTTCTCCTAACTTGGGTCTCACTGCTGTGGAATGAAGCCCAGAATGGTTAATCCAGAATGTTTGCTATCCTTTCTCTACCACCTGTTATCTACCACTGCCCTGCCTCCAGCACTTGTTGGGATCTCGTTCCAAGCCCCACCCCCCACCCCAGATCCCATCTGTTATTCCATCTAAGCAGCTGAAAACTCCATCTAAACAACCTTATTTAGCTAGTAAGGACACAATAAGCGCCCAACTGACTTGGGCCAAAGGCAGTGTCAGAAGCCAAACAGCTCCTTAAACCAAGGTTTCCATTGTCCAGTTGCCATTTGGGGGCAGGACGGCTCTAAAGTCTTATTTTTCAAATGATGGACTGACTGTGATTGATTCTCAGTTAAATATCTAGCTTGTTCAAGAGGACAGACTTGAGCTAGATTAAGAGCGTTGAGAACTTAAAAGAAGAAAAGTCACTTGTCCACGTACAGTGGTACCTTGGTTTAAGAACAGCTTAGTTTATGAACAACTTGGATTAAGAACGCTGCAAAGTAGGTGTTTTGGTTTGTGAACATTGCCTTGGAATAAGAACGTGTTTCGCTTCCTGTTGAGTGTGTTCCATTTGTAAATTGAGGCCCCCTGCTGCTATGGGAAAGCACGCCTTGGTTTAAGAACGGACTTCTGGAACGGATTAAGTTTGTAAACCAAGGTACCACTGTATATATTGGCCTATTCCTCTTTTTCTTAATGGTGACAAGGACCATTCATAACATAAGAGTATTCTTCACAACTGTGAGCAGGGCAGGTAAGTGAAGACAAGCGACGGCAATGAACTTAACGTTCACTGCTCCTGCCCGGGGCTGCGCAGAAAAAAAGCATTTTGGTTCCTGAAATTCATTCTGATTGCCCAGATAAAATATAGCTGACAGAATTCTACCGGTTGGGGTATTAGTGTGTGAAAACAGTCCAGATCCAATGATCCCCGGTTGGTGGAGATTTACCATCCTGGCACCCAGGCATCTTCGCTTGGTCGCAAGTGGCCAATAACTAGGTGCAAAATGTGCCTGGCTAATTTTGCTCATTGGCCAAAGGGGACCTACAGCCCCTTCCCCCCTCCCCTGTCCCAAGGGGCACCAGGTTGACAAAGGCTGAAATAAGAAGCTCCCTTAAAGCAAAGCTGAGATGTCGGTGGCTTAAAATACTTTTCAGGGCAGAATTACGCATTCAAACACTGGAAGCACATTTTAAAGTTTTTGTGTCTGCACAGCAGTGGCTGGGAATTGCAAATGGGGAGAGTGCCGTTGCCCGCCGGTCCTGGCTTCCTGCGGGCATCTGGCTGGCCGCTGTGAGAAGCCGGTGATGGAGTTGGGTGCTTTGGGCCTCATCCAGCACCCTCAGGCGGCTGCACCCTGCAGACCAGACTGGTACCATCTCCCCTCGTATGGCAAGAGCAGGTGATGCATTCAGGGGCTCCCTTCCCTTTGTTGGCATAGATGCTGCCAACCGGCAGTGCCTTCTCACTGCTGTGTGCTTGTGGAGTCGCCGAACCCGTTGTGCGAGCTTTGAGGGTTTTGTGTTCTTTGAAGCAGAAGATAACTACTACTCTCCTTCTCCCTGGCTGTGGTGTGAGGAAGAGAACCTCGAGAGTCCTGTGAGTCAGGATGAGGGAGGAATTGGGCTTGGTTTGCATTTAATGTGCATCTCCCTAATTCATGAGGTCACAGACTTGCTGGATCAGTGACCCACATCCTGTCCAGTATTCTGTTCTCACAGTGGCCAACTGTGGGGAGTCCAGCTGATACTCAAATGCATTGCTGCCTGTGGAGCAAAGCCAAGGTGGATTCCAGCCTTCTCTCCATGACTTTCTCCCATCCTCTTTTAGAGTCATTTTAAAGTCATTTAGAGTCATTTTAAAGGGGGTTGAACTAGATGACCCTTGTGGTCTCTTCCAGCGCTACAATTCTATGATTTTAAGTTGGTGGCCTTCCCCAAGGGAGTGAATTCCATAGTTTAACTATGTGCTGTGCAAAGAAGGACTTAATCTATCTGTCCCGAATCCATCCAGTTTCCTCTTACTCCCTTTCTCAATTTCATGTTTAATTTTATAACTTGAATTTTCTGAAACGGTACGGGAACCAAAACACCTGCCGTCCTTCCAGAATTGCGCTTCTCAAGAGTTTTGCAGTGCAGTTTTCTAGCCAAGTAACGTGCAAAGTGCGTATACCGCAGTAACGTGTTGCTAAAAAAAATATATGTATGTGGTAGTGAAAATAAAATGCAGGTGTGAATGCGTAAGAAATTCACACTCAAAATGCTGGTGAATTTTCATAAGAACTTGGTATGTGGCCCTCGGGAGGCTGCCCAGATGGGATGTGGCCCTCGGTTGAAAAGGGTGTAAGAGAGGCAGGGCGCTTTGGACACAGGCAAGTGCATGGAGGGAGTTTTGTTTATGCCTCCGGAAACTTGTGGGTCTCCATAGGACCGCCCTGAGCATCTGAACTCCACAGTTTTGACACCCGATGCTCAGAGAGTGTGGAGGATACTGGCAAGGTTTCAAGCATCCTCTGGTAATTGCTTGGAATAGCTATAAAAAGCAAACCCGAGATCTTGGAACGACTGACAACGGGGCTGGGTGGTGAGCTGACAGCGATATTGCAGTTGAGTCAGGATAAGTCCCTCAGGACCCACCTGCGCCTTAGCAAATGAATGGGCAGCATCTTAGCTCCACTAAGGTCTACATCTCCTTGTAGAGACTTAGGTATAAAGCACATTGGTCTGGGTTGGATGGTTCCCTCCCCCCAGTAGGGCAGTGATGGACCAAACTCAGGCCCCCTGCCGAGCTGACAGGACTCTTCCCAGGCCACACCCCTTTCTGCAGGCCACACCCCTCGTCCTCCCTGCTTTGCATCCTTGAGTGTTTCTGCCTGACTGGAATTTGTCCTTCAGCTGTGATGATGCCTCTGGCTTGCCTGGACAGAGAGTACGTTGGACAGCAGGGACATGAGTGGCGTTGTGGTCTAAACCACAGAGCCTAGGGTTTGCCGATCAGAAGGTCGGTGGTTTGAATCCCCGCGATGGGGTGAGCTCCCGTTGCTTGGTCTCTGCTCCTGCCAACCTAGCAGTTCGAAAGCACATCAAAGTGCAAGTAGATAAATAGGTACCGCTCCGGTGGGAAGGTAAACGGCGTTTCTGTGCGCTCTGGCACTCGTCACTGTGCACCAGTAGTGGTTTAGCCATGCTGGCCACATGACCCGGAAAGCTGTCTGTGGACAAACACCGGCTCCCTTGGCCTGAAAGTGAGATGAACGCCACAACCCCATAGTTGCCTTTGACTGGACTTAACCGTCCAGGGGTCCTTTACCTCTTAGGTTGGACGACAACTCCCATCATCCCTCATGGTAGGCCGTTCTGATGGGGGTTGGATTCCAAAACGTCAGCCGATAAAGCACGGGACTCTTGGGGTCGTGGGTTCAAGCCTCACGTTGGGTGAAAGAGTCCTTCATTGCTGGGGGTTGGACGCAGAAACTAGTCCGCCAAAAGCTAGGCTCCAAATAGCTCCTTCGCAGCCCTGCCAGGAGATATCGGGAATTACAGCTGTCACCTTCTGCCACAAAAGCAGCAGCGCTTATCACCAAGCTGCAGCCCTTAGCCCAAGGCCTCCCGGGCCAAGACCCCGATTATAGTGTGTTTTAACACCTCCAGCTTAATTAGTGCCTAGCTTATATATCTTGAGTTTCTAGCACTGCTTGGGACCCTCTTGTGTGTAGCAAGTAAGGAATTAATCAATTGGAAAGCAAGAATTGAAATCTGTTCTCCTTCTATTCCAGGAGCTAAGGAGCAGCTGAACGCCTCTTCCGACTGACCGGCTCCAAGCGGATAAACCGGCAGCCTGTGGCCGGTCGTCGTCAGGAGGCAGCCATGTCGATCATGGACCACAGCCCGACCACCGGGGTGGTGACGGTCATCGTCATCCTGATCGCTATTGCTGCTCTGGGCGCCCTGATCCTGGGCTGCTGGTGTTACCTGCGCCTGCAGAGGATCAGCCAGTCGGAGGACGAGGAGAGCATCGTGGGCGAGGGAGAGACCAAAGAGCCCTTCCTCCTGGTGCAGTATTCTGCCCGCGGGCCGGGCATGGAGAGGAAAACCAAGCTGACCCCCAACGGCACCGAGGCTCACAGCTAACTGGCTGTCTGGGGAAAGGGGGGGTCCGCGTGGCCGGGTTTGGAGAACCGGTACTGTGAAGCAAACGTCGCCCTCCCGGAACGAGAGGTTTCTCCTGTGGCTATGTATGCACTGAGGACGATTTCCCTTCCGCCCCTTGAGCATCGCCTCCTTTTTTGGCACAAGGTCCATTGCCGGCAATGGACAGTTGGAGGACACGGGGGGGGGTGCGGCGTCGGGAAAGGGGAATGGCAACACTCGGCCTGTTACTTGAATTATTCCACTGAGCCTCTTCGGAACGGAGCTACTGACATAATGTGAACTTCAACTGTGAACTGGCCGTGTACATAAGCAGCCTCCACGCGGGACGGATGCGCTTTTGCCGGGGTGGGGGCAGAGAAGAGCAGCATTCCTGGATTTTGGGAAGACGCATGGCCGCCGATGGGATTTCTCCAAAGCCAAACTGGGGGGGGGGGTTTGGGAAGCGTGGAGGGGGTTCTTTTACACTTGCTTCGTTTTTGGGGGAGGGGGCTGTTGCAGCTGTGTTTTTAGTTTTTTTTAATGCTTCAATTTCCTTCAAAAAAAATCTATATGCTAGAAAATCAACAATCCATTAAGGCCCAGTTTTTCCTTTCCAAGCCTGCTTCCCGCCCCCCAGCCCACCCCACCTTCCGCTCTCAACAGTCTTCCTTGATCGGAAGCTGCTTCTGGTGTTGCAAGGCTGCTTCATCGCCTCATTCCTGGCTCCTGGTGGGATCTTACTAGATGCCATGTTTTTCCCCAGCGCAAATAAGGAAGTGTTGTTCTCCATGGCAGGCAGGATCTCTTGCTCAGTTATTTCCTTCAAGGCCTTTTCGGGTAGGTGTGATAGGATGGTGTCTCCTTTAGTTACTAGAATGGGACCTTGAGGGTCGAAAAGGCTGTCCTCTGAATCGCCCGCTTCTCCATTGGCGAGCAACCCTTCCGAGTCATAGTAGCTTGTTGCAGCTCTTGTTGAAGCAGGGAGCGGATTTTCTCAGGAGTTGGGGGCTGCTCAAAAACTCCTGGAATGCAGGTTGATTTTTTTAAAAAATGTGTTTTTAAGTAGGGAGCCAAAGCAAAAAGGCGCAAGGAAAGAAATGTGCTTTTTGGTGACGCTGTGAGCGATCGTAGTGATGTCGAGTGCTCTGCAAGCGTAGTGGCTGTGAGGAAGCTGCCACACCTAACCAAGTCCGAAGCAAGCAGCTAATGACAGCTGTGTTTTCTCCTCCCCACCCCCCCCCAAAAGTATGGGTACATAGTCTGAAGGCTGCTGGTGGACTTGGTGGTTGGTGGCTGAGCAGCCCTGCTTTGGTAGTAAGCATGTGAGTAAAGAAATGCTTTCTCGCCCCTTGCTGAGGCTCCCACTTTTAAAAGCTGTTCTCATGTAACTAGTCCCTAATTTATCTCCTGGTGCACTGATGGTTTACATGCACTCCTGGCTGCCAGGACACTTGTAGACAACCTCTTGTTTTATCAAGATCCACATGACTTTTCGCTCAGCTGTATAGAGCTCGGGATCTGTGTATTTTGTAAATAAAATGCCGTTTGCTTTCTTAAAATGACAGGGCTCCTGTAAATAACTTGCCAGAGCAGACGTCCCGTCTTTCCTTTGTTCATGTTTCTTTCATCTTTGCCGGTTTCCATAAGACCCTAGTTGTGTTTCTTTGGTAAGGTTTCATGGTAGAAGACAGTCTCTTTCTCCCTGTCCCTTATTTTATTTTTTCAAGCAAGACGGGAGTGGGGCGGAACATTTCCCTGTAAACTATCCGGCATTTTTCTCCAAAAGCTCATTAAGTAATACTTAAAATATGGGTGCCAACTGCAAATACCACATCAGGTGAGGGTGGCACTTTCGAAGTGCTTAGTTAGCTTTGCTTGCTAAACAGCAGTAAAATAAAAGTTGCTATATTAGATAGCTCCCCTCGAGTTTTGGACTCTGGCTCCAACCATCCCCAGCCCCCATGGTCAGTCGGCTGAGATGAAGGGAGCTGGAGTCTAGCAACATATTAAGGGCACCATGTTGGCTACCGTTGTTCGAGGGCACCAGAAACTTCTCTGAATTCTCAAAATGCAAATGACTGTGTGTGTAAATTTAGACTAATTTGCACAGAAAAATTGAACTGATTTAGTGAGGCTCTGCAAAATCGGCTCACCCCCCTACTTTTCGAAAACTTCCCCTCTCAAGCCATTTTGCTGTAACTCGAATCGCCAGGCCAGGCCGAAAGAGGAACAGAGAGGGGCATGGCCCGTTAACCTCGCTCTTGCCAGGGCCCTGCTGTTCCCCTGCCTGTAGTTCTCTTGGAAGCTGAGGAGGGCCAGCAATAGGGCACAATGCCCAAGGTGGCAGACAAAGGCTACTGCCCCATGGGGTTAGGAGGAGCCGTTTCTGAGAACCCAGCACAGAGCTCTTCCCCTCCGTCCTATGGACCCCGGACAGATTTTCAGCTCTGTTTACTTGCTGGGAAACTTGTGTGTGTCGTAGACAGCAGAAGGCAGGTCCTAGAGGGGAGTGGCAGCTGGCATCCCACACTTGATAGCAGAGGGAGATTTGCAGGGCTCTTGTTAACCTCCCCGCTTAAACTTCCTTGGAAACGAAGATGACTTGTCGCTCACCAGGGAGGAAAACGCAAGGCTGGAGCAGGCTGCAGAAGGGGAGCCAGCTGCAAAGGCCTGTTGCGGTGCTCACTACAGAGTCTTTTGGCTACTGCTGCTGCACCCAAATAATCGTGCTATCAGCTTCCAGCCAGTAGTGCCACCCTTTTCCCCACAGGGCTCCTGGTTTCTGGTCTACAGAGACTGGCAGCAGCTCTCCACTCTTATCAGCCCTTCCTGGAGCTCCCAGGCTGCCATCTTGAGTTATGTAGTCCTCTATCCTTTTGGTCCAGTTGACTCCGCCTGCTTTTGTTCCCCTTCTAGAATTTGTTGCCAGCTGTGTTGTTTGGCAGTAGGAAAGGGCTGCTGCAGGCATGTTGGGGAGGAGAATAGGCAAGCAAGGGTGGGGGACGGCGCTTCCTGGACCAGCAGCTCTGATTTTAGGCAACAGGTGCTTGGGCAGCCCAGGGTGTGATCCAAAGTGGCTCAAGCAGAGGCCAACAGTCTCATTTTCAGCAGGCCTGCACTATTCCCTCACTCCTAGGACTCTTAGCTGCTTCTTGCCTGGGACAAGCTAACCGATAAGAGTAGTACAGTGGATGCTCGGGTTGCAAACGTGATCTGTGCGGGATGCACGTTTGCAACCCGCAGCGGCGCGTCTGCACGCGCTGGTTGCAATTTGGTGCTTCTGCGCAAAGCGCAATTTACCGCTTCTGCACATGCATGACCGCCGAAACCTGGAAGTAACCCGTTCTGGTACTTCCGTGTTTTTGCAGTCCGTAACCCGAAAAAACGCAACCTGAAGTGTCTGTAACCCGAGGTATGACTAATGCTTCTGAATGCCAGCTGCTGGGAACCACAGGAGAAAAGAGTGCTCTTGCCTCGGATCCTCCTTGCGGGCATCTGCTTGGCCACTGTGAGAACAGGATGCTGGACTTATTTGGGCCATCGGCCTGATCCAGCAGGCTCTTGTGTTCTTAACCTCAGGTGCTTCCATTGCCAGATCCCCTCCCAGTTTCTGCGAAGTGTGCCAGCTGCCCTTCTGAACATTTAAGCAAATGTGTAGAATCGGGGCGCTGTTCTTGAACGCGGCTCTCCCTTGTCTCCCCTGCCCAGATCAGTGATTGCTCAACAGGTGCATATTCTGTGAGTCCCAATGCACAGCAGATGTCACACTGTAGGGTTAGTGGAACCGAGCGCTGCTCAGCTGACACTGCAAAGGTGGTAGAGCATGAGACTCTTAATATCTGGGTTGTGGGTTCGAGCCCCACATTGGGCAAAAGATTCCTGCATTGCAGAGGGGTTGGACTGGATGACCCTTGGGGTCCCTTCAAACGCCACAATTCTATGTAGAAGAGTAACAAGGCAGGACCCAGCTCTGGTGATATTTTGTGCTCACTAGTACAGGGTTCCCAAAACTCCACACACCCCAGACCACTTGAAAACTGCTGGTTTTGGTGGACTGCTTAATGATTTTCTTGCCTGTTGCAGCAATTGCAGTGCGCTGCACTAGATGTTTTCCTAATTGTATTAGTCCTTTTATTTCTTGCACCGTATTTTATTGCATTACAATTGACGTTCCATTAAAACTGTGGTGCAATAAAATACAATGCGAGAAATATATATTAAAAAATGCATCAGAAATTCAGTTTTGACTATTTAATGCAGGCCTGGTGCAGGTCGCTGGTGGGTCTGTGGGAAGCCTTGCAGGGAGAGTTCCTGATTCACACACCCCTGCTTTTAATGAAGGAGGACCTTGCGTAAGGGAGTTGGGACTTTCTGTACCCGAAGCCTTGGGAAGTCAAGCTAGACAGACCAGTAGAACATGGGATGGGCTGCTGGAAGATGCTTTCGACTGTCTCTCTTTTTCCTAAGTCATCTTGGAGCCATGGGGCAGTCACGCCCATTGAGCTTGGCAGCAGAGGCCCTAAAATGCAGGCCCCTCTGTCAACCGGGGGCATGGCTGGACATCTCTGTTTTACTTCTTATTTGTTGCATTTATATCCCTTTTTCTCCATGGAGCTCAGGGTGGTCCTCCATAGCTCTTCTGCTCCTCATTTAATTCCCCAACAACAACCCTGGGAGGTAGGTTAGGCTGAGAGGGAGTGGCCCAAGGTTTCACCCAGCGAGCTTCCTGGCCGAGTGGGGATTCAAACCCTGGTCTCCCAGGTCACAGTCCAACACTCTAACCATTGTACCACCACTGGCTTGCACCCTCTTCAGTCCTGTACCTGAGAACTTCTCAGAATTATTTGCCCAGATGTTTTAGGTATGTGTTTGTCCTGGGCTGATGGTTTTAAGCTGGCTTTTGGTCCCTGCTGCTGGCATCCCATCTGCTTTGTTGCCTCTTTTAATTTGTACTTTGACTTTTGACATTTTTGTGAACAGCTGGAGGAAGTTAATATAGAAAAATGCCAAAGAAAGTGCAAAGGCAGCCCTGCTTGAAGACGCTAAAGGTCCATTTAATCCAGATTCCTTGTCCCCAAGAATGGCCCCACCGGGTGTCCGCAAGAAATCTCACAAGCAGAGCGCAGACACCCCTTTCCCCTCGTTGCCCCCCAACAACTGGTCTCTGCTGGTGCCATTTAGCAGCCATGACTAATAGCCACTGCCTTCTCTCCATGCACTTGTCTTGTCCCCCCTTTAAAGCCACAGTAGTACCTTGGAAGTCAAACAGGTTAGTTCCCGAAAATTTTGGCTCCCAAATGTTGCAAACCCGGAAGTGACACTTCTGGTTTGTGAACTATTTTTGGAAGCCAAACATCCTAAGGGGCTTCTGATTGGCTGCAGGAGCTTCCTGCAGCCAATCAGAAGCCGTGCTTTGGTTTTCAAATGTTTTGTAAGTTGAACGGACTTCCGGAACGGATTCCATTCGACTTCCAAGGTACGACTGTATAAGGCTGTGGCCATCGCCACTCCTTCAGGCTGCAAATGTGACTTAGGGTCTTCTGCAAGGGAGCATCAACATATATGCACAGGTCCTGGTAAGCAGGGAGACAGAGGGCTCCATCAACTTTGGGATCGTATGCATGCTTGGAGCTTTGCAGCTCAGTTCCCAAAACCCAGGGTTGCCCAGAAAACCACTGCTTTTATACCGGGTCTGTGGGTCAAGCAACAGGAAATTTAGAGCAGCACAAGTTGTAAGAACCCTCCTCCCCAAATGATCTGGAAGTTGCTAACATCTCCAAACCAGAAAACAAGTTTTGAGGAGGAGGTTGAGCTAGTTTTCTTTTCTGCCTTTTATTTTTCAAGATCTCAAAGGACTGTGTATTAAGGGCAATTGTGTTTTTGTTTTAAACGTCAGTAAAATTATCAAATCCAAAAGCTCATAAAAGGGACTGTGGGATGCCCCCCCTTTTGTAAAGTTGAAGGGGATGGGGGAATTGCATGCACTTTTTTAATCCTGTCGATTCTACAAACGAAAGTAGCGAAGGTGACCAATTTGGAAATTACCCAGGAAGCATAAATCAAAATTAATTTGAACTGTGGAGGTAAACCTGATGCAGCCAAAAGGGGCTCTGGCTTGTAACTAAGGTCAGCAGGGAGAAGAAGAGGAGCTTTTACACTGCCATCCTCCGACCAAATCGTTTTAATTTAGGTTAAATTGATACAAAAGCTATCAAATTAGTGCAATTGTAAAGTGCAAAGAGTCAGTCCCCAGACTGTTGTCAACATCGCAGGCTTCGTCTATCTGGTTCAGTGACTCATTATAAAAATATCCTTTGATTTTTATTTAGTCCAGCCCCCCACCCCCCACAAAAGTCTTTACAATGGAATTTCAATAAAGTTTCCATAAAGATGTTCTCAGTTGAGACTAAACTTGATTTGCGTGGGGTTCCCTTCTGTGTGTGTGTCTTGCTTTACAAAAGCTATTCTGTCCAGTTTTCTTTGCTGTGCTCAGGAGCTATTCTGCCCTCGATCGTGTTGGCGTTCTGCTCTGCTTCGTGGAAAGTGTCCAGAGCTGGTTCAGTAGCCAAGCCAGCTTCTTCTTCCACCTCCTCCTCCTCCTTGGGAAGGCTGAACTCCGGCTCAGTTTTGGTCCCCAGTTCTCTCTCCACCGAAGCCACCAGCACTTTGAGTAGCGTGTTCTCGGTGAGGAGGTTTTCAGAGGCGTCGGCCAGCTCTTGCAACTTCTCAGCCATGTCTTCCAGCTCCCGGGTCTTCTGCTCGTACAGCCCCTGCAAATGTTCGCGCTGGCTCTGCAAGGCCCCGTGCTGCTTCCTCAGGATGCGTGTCTCCTGCTGGAGCCTCTGCCCCTCCCTCCTGGCTTCGGAGAGCTGGCCTTGGAGCTGAGCCTGCGCCTGGTGGAGGGCCTGGATCTCTGCTCTCAGCTTCTCCACCTCCCTCTGCAAGTGGGAGATGTGGCCTTGCTGGAGCATCGCCTCCTGCCGAAGGCAACCTTTGTGGCAGGGCTCCGGGCCAGACGCAGGGGAAGGCTGGCTGGAGTGGCAGAGGATGAATTTGAGGAGGTTGGGAAGGGTGACCGGGAATTCCGCAGGGAACTTCACACTTTGCTCCTTCCTGGGAAAAGTTGATAAAGAGAAATGGGTGAGACCTGCTACGAGGAAAGGGGCACGTGGTTTGAACACCAGGTTCCATCTGTGGCACTTCCAGTTTAAAAATTAGGCTCTGGGAAGTCGTGTGTTGCTGTGGTTGGCTTTGGGGTGGTGGAATTGTTGATGGCAACAGTCCACCTCCCAAAGGGAGAGGTTGCAAAACGAGGGTTGCTTTTAAAAAAACAACCACAAGCTGATCCTCCCCTTTGCCCTCGAAATGGTTCTTCCCGTGTGGAAGGGCCATTTTAGTTCAGATGTAACAGTGAGTTACAGGTCTCTGAGATATCCACATACCGGGGAGGAGGGTGTAACACTAATAGCAGAGTTGCTGGAGGGACTGCAACCAGATAAAATACATAAGAAGCTCTCAGTGCTTCCAGTCGGGCAGGAATGTGTTGGACGGAAACTGCCTGCCCTGCTACGGAAGCTGCATCCTAGGATATGATTTTGGAAGAGGTGTTCCTAGCGTGGTCTTGTGCATGCTTCTAAGCACTGGGATCCAGGAGGGAGATAAAAGTTGTGTGGCTCAAACATGCCACAACTGGAGCCTCTGGAAAATAGAGCTGGAATTGCCTTACCAAGAAGTCCACATACACAAAAACATTTTTCTAGATGGCTCACGTATCCACAGACACCTGTTTCAGATGTGCTGAGAAGCCCCTGCTTGATTGCTTCGTGGAGTTTCACATGGCAGGCAACCTGGCACGCCGTCTCTTGTGCAATCACGCCAAGCTGGTTCCTGGACTACAGTTCCCATCAGCTGTGCTGGGGGGGAACTGTAGTCCAAAGGGGAATCAGCTTGGCAGTGCAATAAACTGGTACAGTATTTCCTTTAGAACTCTGTGATAGATACTAAACTTAGGACAGCTTAATCAAATGGCCTGCAGCATCTGCCCAGGCAGTTTCCATCCCAGAAGCAAGAAGGGCAAGAAATACTGGCTGTGCTCAGCAGCAGCAGCAGCAGCAGCAGGCTGGCTTGCGAAACCTTGCTTGCGAAAAAGCTGCTGCAGGCTGCTGCTCCCCTCCTGCCTTGCCCTGCTCTGCTCCCATGGAGTGAGAGGCTGGGAAGCTGAGGATCTTGGCCCTGACAAGCCCAGCCAGCGGCTTTTGCCCTTGCTTGAAGACGTCCCAGTTGCAACTTTATGGGTCACCTACTGTGAGCTTTGTTTTTCCTACAGGACTGAACTTCCCCTGACTCTGCAACCAGAGCGGGAAGAGAGAGGAAAACAAAGCAGGGGCAAAAACATAAAACACGCTCACGAAAGCAGCTGCGTGAACTTTGGACAAGCGCAGTCCAAGCTGCACATCTGTTGAATCCCACATATACATTATATATCCCTCTGGCTACATCAAACTTCCCCATGGAAATGAAATGAAATGTTCCTAATCGGCACAATGCTAGGTTTGCAGAAGCGCGCACTGACTCCATTACTGCAGACAACACAGAACGGACCTCTGGGGCTGTGTATGAGCAATAGCAAATGACATTGTCAGCTGCACCTTAGATGCAAGACACGAACTACCACTAAGAAGCTGGAGGTGGGGGAATCCAAAACAACTGCAGGCACAGGCAAGGGGACCTGTGGCTAACTGCATTCTTTCTCTTCCAAGGCAATAAAAGCAAAAGAATTAGATTAATTAACTTGTCATTGAACTAGAGCCAGCATTTCCAGCCCCCCTCGAGCACTCCAGATTACAGAGCAAGGAAGGGCACATGAGCAGCATGTCTATTTCTGCACGCGGAACAAGGGGATAGCAGCGGGGTTTTGATCCTGCCGCTGAAACTCTGCAGCCTTTGCTCAGAATTCCTCCGGGGAAAATAAAAATAGCGGCTAAAAGGCTGAGAGGTCCCTGCTTCAGACCTTCCCTCTGCTATGACAAGGTACCCTCAGGCAGCTGCTGAGTCTCTTTAACTCGGCTCCACCTCCTGGGCAGAGCGACAAGAAGATAATACTGACCTACTTTGCAAGGGTGGTGGTGGTGATAAGGCTGTCTGGAATAAGGTCAACAGAGCTTTCTGAAATCTTCGTGGCTGAGCGCCAGCAGGAAAGCAGCAGTGATAATGGAAATGGAGCCACCTCAATTAGACTGGTTTGTTGCCTGTTTCAGGTTACCGTATTTTTTGCTCTATAAGACTCACTTTTTCCCTCCTAAAAAGTAAGGGGAAATGTGTGTGCGTCTTATGGAGCGAATGCAGGCTGCGCAGCTATCCCAGAAGCCAGAACAGCAAGAGGGATTGCTGCTTTCGCTGCGCAGCGATCCCTCTTGCTGTTCTGGCTTCTGAGATTCAGAATATTTTTTTTCTTGTTTTCCTCCTCCAAAAACTAGGTGCATCTTGTGGTCTGGTGCGTCTTATAGAGCGAAAAATACGGTATGTATTGCAGGAATTTAAAGCCAGGCTTCGCAAATGATTGCTTTCTGGTAGAGGCCTACATGGACTGAGCTCGGTGCTTTGTTTTTCCATTCAGCAAGGACTTCTAAGCAGGATCTGCTGAGAACTGGCACGAGGCCCGCCTCCCTGAATGGAAAGCTAACACAGCGTGCCTGTGGAAAGCCAAGAGAAGCCTTGACCGCTCTATTCTTTTTACAGCCGGGGTGGTTTGGGGCGGGGGGTGCAATCTGTGCCCCATGGGCTGCATGCAGGCCTAATTTTTGAGAGCCCTTTGCAAGTGATTGGTTGAGACCAGTGGTGGCTGGTGCCCGTTGGGCAGAAGGCAGAGAGATTGACAACAGGTGGAGCCAATGAAAGGCAGAGTCAACTAATTCTTGTTGTCCGCTCAGCTACCTCCCTGCTGAGTTCTACAAAGGGAACTCAAAAGAGGAAGAGGAAGCTGGCAGGCAATGGCAACCCCTAGGGAGCCTCCACTGGCAAGCCATTGGAGGAGAGAGGAGTGTGTCCCTGCTTTAAGGCAACTGTCAATACAGTGGTACCTTGGGTTAAGAACTTAATTTGTTCTGGAGATCCATTCTTAACCTGAAACTGTTCTTAGCCTGAAGCACCACTTTAGCTAATGGGGCCTCCCACTTGCCGCCATGCGATTTCTGTTCTCATCCTGAAGCAAAGTTTTTAACCCGAGGTACTATTTCTGGGTTAGCGGAGTCTGTAACCTGAAGCGTCTGTAACCCAAGGTACCCTGTATAGATGATCCATTTTAACCTCAAAACAGAGAAGAAAGAAACAGAAAAGGGGAAATTTACCGATCATGAGGGAAAAACAGAATGCTGGGTAGGCGGTCGGTCATGAATTCCCAGGGAAGGTCGTTCTGAGAAACATCAATCCTGTTATGAGAGCAAAACAAATACAAACACACTGATTATAGAGGACCATAAACTCAGTGGCCAAGCACATACTTAAGCATGAGTATCATGTTTATCACACTGACTTAATGCATTACCGTTTTAACGTTCTGCTCCTGCAAGGTCATCCTTCTAGCAAGTATTTCTGCAGTGAAGAGAAGGGGAAGGCTAGAAGGAGGTCTCTCAGAGCAGTGACTCACAGAGATGCAGCAGGTGTTGCCCCCTATGAGTGGGGGCTTCGGGGCACACCGGAACCTCTTGTCATTGATTCTATACTTGGAAACAGAGAAGTCAACCATGGTACGTGACCTTTGTTTTGACGGGAAGCCCCTCTCTATTGGAAAACGTCAAGATGCCCTAAGGCAGGCACCCCCAACCTGCGGCCCTCCAGATGTTTTGGCCTACAACTCCCATGATCCCTAGCTAACAGGACCAGTGGTCAGGGATGATGGGAACTGTAGTCCAAAACATCTGGAGGGCCGAAGGTTGGGGGTGCCTGCCCTAAGGCATCTCCGTGTTAATTGGTTCCAAATTTACTCCCTTGCCAACTGGTTATTAAGGATAAACGGTGCTCCATGCACCCTGAGAAGCCTTTGAAGATCTTAGGCCAGCTGCTAAGTGCCTTAAGGTGATAGTCTCTAAGGTGTATACACTTTTGCTGAATATTAAGTATGGGGATGGCTGCTGGCATGGGAATCCGATCCTGGCTGCCCAATTCCAGAAACTCAATAGTCTGGCATGTGGTCTAGGGTTTATCTGTCAGCTACCTCAGCACTCAATAAAGGGGCTATGCTCAAACTGAGCCTGGCATTGGACACCAGGCAAGCTCATTTACATTAACTCTAACCTGTCCACACTTCACTGGAGGGGATATGAGACACGTGGGTTTTATCTATGGTGGGTGTGTTTGGATGTCTAATGGCTCCGCATTTTTTTCTATACTTGGCTAATTAGACAAACGATTCTGCCTGATGTTCCTCTCCACCTTTTCTCAGGAGACATTATTCCCCAGATACTGCAAACCATTAGTAATGATATGCTTAGCAGTGGTCAGACTGGAAATTGGAAGGAAGTGGGCAATCTTTCTGTTAAAACTTGGTACAAGACAGTCTGGTAATTAGCACTTGATGATAAGCTTACTCAAGAATGCAGGGAAGCCAAGGGAGTGGCTCTGATGGATATTTTTGTTCAGACTTGGTACCTGCTCATCTGTTACACAACTCAAGGGGTGGGGAACACCCCACCCCCACTCCAGCCACAACTTTCTGGAGGGGCATTCCTGCAACTTCATTGCCAGAATAGGGTGTAATACTACACTGCACTATGGTGACATAGAAGTTTCTCCTTTTTGTTGTTTCTTTTCTTGTTTAATTATGGGTTTTCTGTAAGCAGTTAACAAGTTAATAAATCAACAAACAAAATATGGATTCAGTTCTCCTGGCACACATTACTAGTCTAAAATAATGAATATGGTACACACGGCCAACAATCATCACCAGAAGAGTCAGAAAGATATTCTTAAAGATACTGTGGAAACTACGGGAAGAGATTAAACCTCAAGCTACGAAAAGATAGAATATGCTTCCTTCAAGGGCAAGCAAGAGAGGAGGCCCGGACGCAGATGGAAAGTTTGAGAAAGCAAAAATAAATGAATAAAATAAGAGAAGAGATAGATGGCCTTGTTATTTATCTTGGAAATAAGGTGGGTGAACAAGCAAAACTTGCCAGGTGGGGTGGGGGTTTGCAGATCATGCATTTAATTAACTGTTGAGCAGTTTCTTCAAAGGGCAGAGCTTAAAATATACATCTGTATAATCTGCCCAGCAATTGTCCTTGAGTCATGCTGATGCATCACACACACACACAGAGAGAGAGAGAGAGAGGAGGAGGAGGAGTTGGAGTTTGGACTTGATATCCCGCTTTATCACTACCCGAAGGAGTCTCAAAGCGGCTAACATTCTCCTTTCCCTTCTTCCCTCACAACAAACACTCTGTGAGGTGAGTGGGGCTGAGAGACTTCAGAGAAGTGTGACTAGCCCAAGGTCACCCAGCAGCTGCATGTGGAGGAGCAGGGAAGCAAACCCGGTTCACCAGATTACGAGTTCACCGCTCTGAACCACTACACCACACTGAAGAGTTCAAGCCCTAAGAGCTACTCAGGGCTTGACACAGAAGAATCTCAGGGCCATCCTAAATGCAAGCTCTCGTTCTCGTACATGGAGAAAATTGAACCAACTAAGAGTGAATTACCAATAACCTTTTAAATATCAGAGTGATTTCATAGGGCAGGATGTATAGAAGGGAAGGAAATGTGTGCAGGCCACACATGGAATAGGCCAAGCTTCACAGTGGCTGACAGAGACTGACCAAACACAGTTCAAGGTACCCAGGCAGTCTGGACTTTTTGCACCAGAAACTACTCTTCTTCCAACCCTCACTTGGAAAACAGACCAAGACCACCATCTTCCACTTAGTGATTTGTTCAAGGCCTTGGGCACATTTCTCCAGAGCTTGGTTTGTTTTCCACTGCTCTTGGCTCTGTAACTTAGGAAGCATCTGGGTCAGGGTGACCAAAGAAACCAGGCTAAGCAAGGCTGCTGGGTTCAGGCATAATGCCAATCCGTAGTTACAACAAACTGTGGTTTCTAAGCCAATGAATCGAGGTTTGCTGACAAAAAACAAGCCAGCCATGGTAAGTCTGGTGGGCTGCATTTGCATGTTCAAACAGACCACATCTGTCTAAGCACATCATGTGTGAATCAATCCAAGCACCAGCTTTTCTCATTAAACTATTGTTATTTGTGGGGCAGTTTCCTCTAGTTCAGCATCAGCATTTGAGCTTAAGCCTCTTGTGCCCACTTGCGTGTGCCCAGTAAAAATTGTTCAGTTCTTCCCTTTTTCAAAAACTAGGGATGTTACTCAGCTTAACTGGGGTCTTGTGTGTTATGTTTGGCTTCCAGATAAAAAGCTAGAGGAGGACTTCTCATGGATGTGTTTCATTCTGCAATTTAGGTTTCATTTTTTTGTACAGGCAGTGGCTTGGTAAACCTCCAAAAGCAGATGGGGCTGATGGAGGACTTCCCCAAACCTGGAATGGGGCTCTGCGGCTCTGCCTGGCTCCACATACCCACTAAAGACTCACAGAATAAAACACAATCCCCTAACTTGGGCAGCTGATCAAGACATGGAAAGTGTGGTTTACACTTTGATTAAGAGCACATACCAGCCTTTTCCAACCTGGTGCCCTCCAGATGTTTTGGACTAAAGCTCCCATCGTCCCCAGGCTGGAGCTGATGAGAGTTGCAGCCTTAAACATCTGGAGGGCACCCGGTTGGGGAAGGCTGGCATACACAGTCCCAAGAGTATCTTAATGTAATGGAAAGAAGGGAGAAAGACTCACCTCGCCACAAGGAAGTTATCAGCAGGCAGGATCCGGGCGAGCTGGATAAAGATGTGATTGAGAGACATGCAGAAGCCGCACCAAGGAGCATAGTAGACCAGCAAAATGTCCTGAGTTTGATGAAGGGAAGATTAGATGTTGTCGTTTTCTTTCACCCTGGCACCCCATCTCCCCACATTTTTGTTAACGCCATTGAGCTATGTTTAAAAGGGCCCCTTTCTGGTTTTCCAGTTGTGGACACAAACACAGAAGGAAACTCCCCACTCCAACTCACAACAAAATTTGTTAAGTTGGATGGGGGGGGGAAATTAAAAATTAACCTTTCAGGCTACCTCTATTGTGGACCTAGAGCGGGGGTCTGGGGCAGCTAAGCTGTGCTAAGCAAGCCTTTCTTTGCACCATGCCAGGTCAGATGAGATAGGAGTCATTTTCCAATTGCGTTTTAGGACATCGTCAAGGTGTGGCTGTTATTCCCCAGGGCATGACCATGTCGTTCAGATGCAAAACAAAGAATCAGCCATGGAGGCAGGCGGAGGCAACTGACTGCTGGACCCTAGAGAGCCTTACCTTTTTGCTCCTCAACGTGACCTCATGGAAAGTATCGGTGAAAATTTCTCTAATGACATGTTGAGATCGAATGCGGCTGGGCCTCCTGTCGCCAACAAGGTGTCTTTTTAAAGGACTGTACAAAACGCTGTAGTTTTGAATGAAGGTTTCTAAAAAAAATAAGAGAGTCGACGTTCAGGAGGTTATTTTGAGTTTCTAGGCTTGACAATGTAACATGGAAGCAGGTTTTAGGTCTGAGAAGCATCTTGGCAGGATTGTGTCTGTGGGCTGTTTCAGGAGGTTGCAGCAAAAAACAGAAATATCCCCCTCAACTGTTGTTAGGGTGGTGTTATATTTTGGGTTTCCACATGCATGGAATATGGCATTAGGGTGAGTACCCTCAGAATCTCAGTTTAACAACAACAAACCTAATTATCTAGTCCTTAGGTTGTCAAGCAGAACATGTCCAACGCGTAGAAAAATCTAAAGAGGTCAGAAAGGTACTGAGCGCTGCACAGCACCTCCCTGAATCCATTTGCATGGATTGTTCAAATCAAGCGAGAATTCTGCTGAACTATCTTACTCAACTCGCAGGGTTCGGTTTCTTTTTGTCAAAATTTCACTGCTGCCTCAAAAAAACAACAACAACCCAATAGCGTGTCTTCTACTATTATCAAGTAGTTTCAAGGGGGTGGGAGCGTTAAGTGTGTGTGAGTCTCTAAGGTGAGCGGAGAACTGCATTTGATAGGGAAATCTCTTTGTCATGTCAGAGCATGCACACACATGTATTGCACGGCACACTGTAACAGCAGGGGCTCCTAAAAGTCAAGCATACCGTTGGCAATGTAAGCTGTAATTTAGGAACCCTTCCTGTCCAGGGTTGGGAACCCCACACCCCACCCCAACGAGGCATCTAGTACAATAAAAGGAAGTGGTGCAACGAAACAGATTTTCTGAAAGGCAACATTTCATGTAATGTTAAGAGCAGCCAAAACAGTGACGGCCAAATTTGACCCTCCAGCTGTTTTGGGACTACAACTCCCATCATCCCAAACTAACAGGATCATTGGTCAGGGATGATGGGAATTGTAGTCCCAAAACAGCTGGAGGGCCAAGTTCGGCCATCACTGAGCCAAAATAAAAGCACAAGAGAGATGGACAGTAACTGCTGTGCACTGCACCAATGAGGAAAGAACTAAGTGGACCCTCCTGAAGGAATGAGTTCCAGAGCCTCAGCACCACCACCACCAGGAAGGCCCTCCCTTGTATGTCCACCCAGCAGGAAGGGTGATTCAGAGTAGGGTGGACAACCTGTTGGCCTCCAGATGTTGCTGGACCCTCATGATCCCTTTCAACTCTATGATTCTATAACACCAGGAGTGGGGGGCGGATGGACAGGCTTCCCATCCCTGCCCCTGCCCTTTCCAGCCTGGGTTTAGCAGGCTGTATGCCTCTTTGGCTATTCAGGCAGCCTTCACAGGGTCTGCTTCACATGCCTGGCTGTTCTGAGAAATCAGAACGGCCTCGGCAGTGATGTTGGCCAAATAAAAGTTTGAAGAGCAAGAAAAGAATATCCTCCAGCAGGAAGGGAGGACCTCCACATGTCAAGATTCCTGCACTGCAGGGGGTTGGACTAGATGTCAGGTGCCAATATTACCGTATTTTCCCGTGTATAAGACACCCCCTGTTTTGGGGGACTCCAAATTAAGAAAATGGAGATAGTCAAGAGTTGTAGAGTTGTTAAGATGTTTTGGGGAGGGTTGCCCAGACTTGTTGAGCTTTTTTTTTGGGGGGGGGGGGGTTGCCGACAGTTGGGGAAAAGCTGCCAACCACCTGCCCAATCGCCACAAGGGCAGCCAATCAACAACAGCCATTGCCAAGGCCACCAATCAAACGCCCAAGAGCTGCTGCAACCAATCAACCAATTGCCCATCCACCCTCTACACTATCCGTGTATAAGACAACCCCCAATTATTAACATAATTTTTAAAGAAAAAAACATTGACTTATACACAGAAATATACAATACTTGCTATTCTGTGCTAGACCAAAAAACAAAAAAAGGTCTTTTATAGCACTTTTAACATACTTCTAAGAATCACTGATTTCATCTTTTACTCGTGGTTTTATATATCTGATGCCTTTTAAAAACCGTTAAAAGCGTCCTGGAATCAAATCTTGATGAGCAGTGGTGTTAAAAACGAAGTAGGAGAGGCCAAAAAGAAACCATTTTAAATCAGTAGTCTAATTTCCCTGCAAACTTGGGTCGTGCTTTTAGTAACAGTGACATCTGCACCCAAAGTTTGGAACTAATGAGGCGGTCGTACTATACCTAGGTTAGATTTCAGCAGAGCCTGGTCCTGATCCAGGATATAGTGTGTCTCTTCCTTGAGGTCCACAATGGCAGCAAACTCCTTCACCGGAGCAGACCTTGATGCTCCCAGCCTCTCCGCGTACAACCAGAAGAGATTTGAATCCAGCAGGTATAGGTTCAAGGTCTTGTTAGTCCTGCAACTCAGGCCGGTCACGTAAGTGTCGCAGAGGGCATTTTCCGGGATAAGACCGCTCCTGTCCTCAATGTGAGGAATAGAGCTTTGGGGATCGTCTTTCCATCTCTTCCCATGGGAAGCAAGAGCTAATTCCTCGGAGCCGGCGAAGCCCAGCGGGGTCCCGCTCACTGTCCTGCAGCACGCGGTGTAGTAGCTGAAAGGGCTGTAAAAGCTCAGGAAGTTGCTGCACAGGGAATCCGTCTTGGACATCACTTGGAAAAAGGTCCGCTCCTTGAGGTAGAACGAGTCCAAGGCTGCTTCTATCTCCAAGAAGTTGCAGTGCAGGCCTCCCAGGCGGCTGGGCCTGACCCCCACGGTCTGGTTGATGCACAGCTCGCAGACGTTGTGGGTCCGGGTGATCGAGTGCCACTGAGGAGGCAGCACCACTGTGTTGCAGCAAGGGGACTTGGCGATGGAGATGGCTTCGGCCAGAGGGAGGCGGATGCCGGACTCTGAGGATGCTCCTCCTTGCAAATGCCCGGCACCCGCTTCCCCTGCATGGCTTCTGTTGCAGCGCTTGTATTCCAAAGCCAATTCCGAGATCTAGGAGGAGAAAAGAAAGCCGTATGGACATTTCTCCTCGTCTTACCAGGCCACCGTTATAATATCAGGAGGAGGGAGGAAACCAAAGACAATTGGCAAAGTTATCACCCTTTACCTCTCAGTTTGTCCCTGGGGGAAAAAAACCCTGTGTGTTGGCATATTGTAGGATACACTCAAACTTCCCCACGGTTCTATGCTACAAGCACCGCAACCTAGAAAACACCCCATTATTCTCCCCAGGGCTATGCCTTCAATATCAATATTTACAAGTCCTTGGGAAGCTTCCAAGGAATCTCAGTATTTGAAAACTACTGACTTTGAGCAATCTCTGCAACAATGCATGGTTATTCGCTCAAAGGCTGCTCTGCTTCAATTTTCAAGCAACACCTCAGCCCAGAAGCAGAAGGCAGGACACACTTTGAGAAGAGTAAATAGCATCAGCTGACCCAGGCAAGTGAGCTAATATGTATATTACAGGCAAAGCTCCAGTCTTGCCTGCACCAAAAGTTGTTTTAAAGGTAAAGGTAAAGGTACCCCTGCCCGTACGGGCCAGTCTTGACAGACTCTAGGGTTGTGCGCTCATCTCACTCTATAGGCGGGGCCAGCGCTGCCGGAGACACTTCCGGCACTGGCAGCGTACAGCTGATCTGGCGACAGTGCCACCGGAACGCCGTGCCTCCCTGGTATTTTTATCTACTTGCCAAAGGTGCTTTCGTGCTAGTTGGCAGGCAGGGATGAACGAGGGGGACCCCGTCGAGGGTTCAACGCGCTTTCAATCGGCAGTCTAGCTGAAGGCTTTAAACGCGCACCAGGGTCATAAAGTTGTTTTAGGGCTCTTAAGATAATTAGCCACCTGCCCCATTTAAGTGTTTGTGTGGGGTTTTGTTTTTAAAGAAGAGAAGGGAATCTTGAATTACCACAGGGCTGAGATGAAGAACGGTTCACACAGAGGCCAACAAAAATCTCTCTAACCCTTTAGGTTACAAGCATAGTGATTTCTGTCTACTTCTCTGAGCTTGTCAGTTCCAAAGCTGTTCGAACCTGCTGGTTTTTAAAGGTTTGTTGTTAAAAATGAAAAAATACAGGCAAAGACCCAAAGAGCTCCTTTAGGCCACCCTTTCCATCCTGAGCGGATGCTACCTGGGAGGAGGGCTGTTGGCAAAATGCAAGCCCCAACGAATGACGATGTGATGCCCGTCTCTTTGCTCACTCTCAATCCCACGCAAGAGGTGCTGCCGCTGTGCCACGGGGCAAGGGCCGGGTGATGTGCAAGCAGCAAGTTGCCACATGCTGCTCGGTTTGAGAACGAGAAAGCAAAAGGAAGATATTGGGTGGCGTCTCTTACAGCATTGAACTGGGCACCACTGTTCAAGAAGGACACTGACAAACTGGAACGTGTCCAGAGGAGGGCAACCAAAATGGTCAAAGGCCTGGAAACGATGCCTTATGAGGAACGGCTAAGGGAGCTGGGCATGTTTAGCCTGGAGAAGAGGAGGTTAAGGGGTGATATGATAGCCATGTTCAAATATATAAAAGGATGTCATATAGAGGAGGGAGAAAGGTTGTTTTCTGCTGCTCCAGAGAAGCGGACACGGAGCAATGGATCCAAACTACAAGAAAGAAGATTCCACCTAAACATTAGGAAGAACTTCCTGACAGTAAGAGCTGTTTGACAGTGGAATTTGCTGCCAAGGAGTGTGGTGGAGTCTCCTTCTTTGGAGGTCTTTAAGCAGAGGCTTGACAACCATATGTCAGGAGTGCTCTGATGGTGTTTCCTGCTTGGCAGGGGGTTGGACTCGATGGCCCTTGTGGTCTATTCCAACTCTATGATTCTATGATTTAGTTTGGCCCAGGTGAAGCCGGTGCTGTGAAACAAGGAGGGATGGCACAGCAACAATTCCAAGACGGCCTGTGCAGAGGGATGTGCAGGACTTTCTGAGCTGCGCTGGCAGAGATGCTGGAACGGAGAGTTTCTTGCCATGCGGCCGCCCGGGAAGCAAAGCTCTCCCCAAGCGGGAAGGAAAATCACAAAGCAACCCTTACTGTAAACAAATTACATAAGAGGCCCCCTGAAAGCGAAAGGAAGCTGTGCAAGGCAGCTGGAGTCATCTCTGGCCAGGAGAAGCACTTGGGATGTTCAAGAACAGGATGAGGCTGGGACAGATTTTGTTTTTTAAAGTGGGTTTGTTTTTTTGGTTTGCAGATGCATACATTACTCCCCACATTTGCACGTGGCAGGGAAGAGGAACTTGTGGCCCTCCAGAAGCTGAGGGACTCCTGCTCCCATCAGTCAGTCTGGCCCAAGCTGAGGGATGATGGGAAATGTAGGCCAACAACTGTCTGGAGGGTCACCATCCTGGGGAAAGAGGGCGAAACACCCTGTGAAATTATGTAAGCTTGCTGTGCATCTGACGCAGACAGGCAAAGATGCGCTTTTTCTGCTTGGCTTGTCAGTAGCTTCTCACCTGGAGGGAGCTGCGTCTGCCTCCAAGCAACCCAGGAAGGCAGTCTGTTCCTTTGCTTGTTCGTTCCAGGCTGCTGATTTGCCAGAATTGATTTGCGGAGGTGTCTGAGGGCGGGCTGGCTAATAACTATTCTGCTTACACCTCACCTTTCCTCCAAGCAGCTCAAGGTGCCTCAATTAAAAAGCACACACAGAGAGAAGAACACACAACTGCCCTCACTTTGCCCTGCTTATGCAGAGGCTGCATAAGGACCTCCAGAAGATAGGCAGGCCGTTATCTCTAACCTGCCCTGACAGCTTCATTCCCCTCCCTTAGTTCAGAGAGCCAATTAAACCAGCTTCAGCGTCAGCAACGCTTAAGGCAGCGCAGGAGCGAGCAGAGGGTGGAAATGGAAGCAAGGAATGCAGGGGACCTTGTTCTGATTCCGAGGCTGACCTGCTGTGAGTTCTTTGCAAATCCGTTAACCTTTCCATCCCTGCCTCCCAAAACCAACATGCTTATTGCTCTTCCTTTGCCCTGCAAGAGGGCAACGCGAAGGAATTTGCTTTGGGGTCAGCCAACGTTATTAAATGTCCGTGGCCAAAATCACTTGACTCCTCTGACGGTGATAAGCGGTGGCTTACCTTCGACCACAGTAAAGCAAAGAAAAACGTGTGTCTGTGTTGAAGTTCACCAATACCCTAAGTGTATTTGCTTTGGTTTCCTCCTGCTAAATGAGAACAGTCTCTTGCCTCCAGATAAAGCTTTGCCCAGAATCTCCTACACCTGTTTCATAGGGATACCCTCCCTGCAAACACACACCAATGCCTTCTTTTGCAGGTTGGCCCCACTGAGAAAGACACAACTTTTCTTCCAGCTACATTTAGAAAAAGAGATCACCTATCAGAGCAAGGACTGGTTCAGGGCACTATCTGAACTCCCTAGAACTAGGGGCCTGAAGCTCGCAGAGAGTCCCATTTTCTGCCTGAGCAAGCCTGCCTGCATATGAGCAAACGAAACCCCAGTGACTCTTTCATTGCACATGAACATTCAGAGCTGCCTTGTGCCGAGTCAGGCGAGGCATCTCTCGATCCCAGTCTTGCCTCTTCTGATGCACAGTAGCACCTTGGCACTATAAACAGCTAAGCATCACTCCCATCACTTGACCCTTTTAAACAGGTGGTGTATCTTAAATGCAGGCTCCCTCCCCACTCCATTCTATCTATCATAAGCTTATTGGGGGGGGGGGCAGTTCCAAGCTGGCATGCCAGATCTTCAAAGCTTTGTGGACTGACAAAAAACAAAGCACTGCTTCACACAATTACCGTATTTTTTGCTCTATAAGACTCACTTTTTCCCTCCTAAAAAGTAAGGGGAAATGTGTGTGCGTCTTATGGAGCGAATGCAGGCTGCGCAGCTATCCCAGAAGCCAGAACAGGAAGAGGGATTGCTGCTTTCGCTGCACAGCGATCCCTCTTGCTGTTTTGGCTTCTGAGATTCAGAATATTTTTTTTCTTGTTTTCCTCCTCCAAAAACTAGGTGCGTCTTATAGGGTGAAAAATACGGTAAATTATGGAATTTGCTCCCACAAGAGGTAGTGATGGTCATCAATTTAAAAGAGAATAAGCAAATTCACAGAAAAACCTCTGAACGGCTACTAGCCACGATGGCTACGTTCTCTGAATGCTGGGTGCTCTGACTCCCAGGTCCTGTTTTTAAGTCTTCCATAGCTATCTGGCTGGAAACTTATCCAGCAGGGTCCTCCTTACGCTCACCTCATCTACAAGGGGATGACTTTCCGCTAAGGGGTCGAAAGGAAGAAACAGGAAGAGTGCTGGTCCCTTCTTCAGCTCGTTGTTCAGCAAAAGACTTTTCCCCCCATGGGGTCTCAGCCAGCGGATGAAGGTCTCACGATTCTCCAGGGCCCACTTCCAAACATTTTCCGCTGTGTAGTTCATCGCTTCGTGTGGATAGAGCTGGAAAGAGGGAGAAGAGCACTCTCAGCATTTGTTATCAATTAGGGCAAGTTAAAACTTGGTCATCCCTTAAGGATTGGCAGACTGACAGGGACCCATCGCACAATATGGTGGGAAAACGAGGCAGTTATGGACGGCACCCGTTCCCACATTCTTTGCTGCTTAACTGTTTGGTCTTTGGCTGAAGAGACACTGGGAAAACTCCAACAACAGACGCAGAACAAGCTGAGCCAAGTCACTACATAGGAAGCAGCCCTTGGGAGGAAGTTCTTCCCCTACTGGCCACACACCCTGCTAGGCAATCCTCTGAGGGCCACATGTCAGTGGTGTGTGGGGCCAGGAACAAAAGCAGTTAGGACAATAAATATTGGCTCACTCACACACAGCTCTCTATCTTGGCAAGCAAGGAGCATTATCAGGGTTCAAAAGCACACTCTAGCTGGGGAGAAATCCTCAGGCAGGTTCGGTGAGAGGTGTGACCAAGGGCCATACAGAGAGGGCTGCATTCAGCCCCTGGGCCTGAGGTTCCTCACCCCTCGTATAACTCAAGGAATTGGTAGGAAGTAAAGCTGTTGAAGTGAAGCTGCTGATGTCTGATGCACAGCTGCAGAGTGGAAAGAGCAGGCAGAACTGTTCCCCCCACTCAGAGATACATTTTTGGTTTTGCTGACCAAGAATTCATTCCTAAGATTGGAAGGGAGGGTAAATCTTGCTCCAACACTGCAATCTTTTAGCTGCTCGGCAAAAACATGTTTACCCATCCAGGGATTTTAGCAGATTTTAGTTTCAGCAAATGTCAATCTGTTACACGATTCTTTTATCTGCTCCTTTTACCATTGCTCGTGTTTTATTCTATTGATTTAATAAATGTATAGAAATGTTTTAATGTTTTTTTTTTTGGGGGGGGAATGACAGGGGCTGTGCATTTGGATATTCCGCCGTCTGTGTATGAATCTATATATCTATATGGAGGGACCATTTTGTCATGACATGATTTAGGATACTCTTTCAACCACACAGGCTATGAAGCCACTGAAATGTCTCTGCATGTTATTAATGTGATCCCGAAGACACGGTAAATTTCGTTTCCTAAAACTGCACGTGATGCTTCAGTGTTGCTTCACTGAAAAAGGTGCCTTGAATGCACTTGGATGGGCTGCCTTCTGAGAGGTTGGATTTAAGAGCCCACATCCTTGGAATCAGCAGGCATCCCTCTGTTTTATAAAGTTTATGTTAGCGTGGATCTTCCTTCCCACCCAGCCCAGCTTGAGCAAGCCTGGAGATAAAGGAGAGAGGAGGAGCAAAATGCACTCAAGGAGTTTGCTCATGACACACAAACATTTCAGCAACATGGGATTTTGCTTACCTGAAATTAAAGGCAAGGGTGGTGGGGGGGGAGAAAACTACACACACACATACAGTGCTGTACCATCTTCCAGATGGTTCACTAAATTATTTGGCATAAAAGGAGAAAACTGTCTCAGTAGCTCCAAACATGAAACAAATGCTGACCTTGGCCACTGTTACATAAGTAAGCTAATTTCCTTTATTAGACTCTACCTCTCCTCCCCCTCCACGCACTAGGTTTTTGGATTACCCATTGTTCTGAGCCCTGGAGCATCTGCCTGCCAATGCAACCCCAGATAACTGCCTATGTGCCTGACTGCCGCACCTCTGCTTTATAAGATGGCCCTCCTCTGCAACCTCCTTGAGTGGCTTGGCTTGGCTGGAATAGATTCTTGAATGGTGATAATGTCTCTTACTTGCCTGGATGTAGGATGGAGAGATGTGTGTCCATGCGCATCATCACCATCGTTAACAGTAACAACCACAACCTGCCTTTTACCCTAAGGTCTTAAGCAGGTTACAAGTAAAATAAACGTGTTAAAATTACAGAAATAAATTACCCTGAAACCTGGCAAAATTGACCGGGAAAATCAGAAACCAAGAAGAGAAGAACTTTAAGAAGTTATTGGGGGGGGGGGGATTTACAATGTATTTAAGAGAACACTGTAAACAACTAAAAACTTTGGCAGAATTTGAATAATGCTTGTAACGTACTAAAAACTATGGTAAAAATGGATTATTATTAAAAATAGAGAGGAAAAAGTTAAGCAGTTGAAAAAGGATTGATAATGGTAACCATGGAAGGGCAGAGGGGAGTCAAAGGATTCAGGGAATTCTAAATGATGATGATGATGGTGATGTTTAATGTTTTTATTTAAATTTGCACTGTAAAACTCAATAAAAAAAGATTTGACAAAATTTTTTTACAGAAATAAGGTGGGTCTGAAAAATATACATCTCAGATGTCAAAAGCCAGAGTCAAGGACTGGGTCCTCAGCGTTGGCCAAGAGCTGTCTAAGGAAGGAGCCAGGCGCACTTCTGTGGGAAGGGAGTTCCACAACTTAGGGGCCAACACAGAGAAGGCCCTCTCCCAAGCCTCCAACCCCCCAAGCGTCTGAAGGCCTTGGAACAACCAAGAGGGACCCCTCTGCCATCTTTGCACCTGAGAGGATATGCAGGGAGGGAGGCGGTCGTTCAGGAATTTGGGGGCTGAGTTATTTAGGGCTTTAATGTGAGCACCTTAAATTTGGCCCAGAAACGAACTGGCAACCGGTGCAGCTGTTTTAAAACGGGGGTTATATGAGAGCTGAAGGGAGCCCCGGCCACTAATCCAGCTGCTGCATTTTAGACATAGATTCTTCTAACTTTTGCTTGGCTGGAATGGAGCCTGGTGTACAAAGGAAAGAGTTACATCCACTGCTCCACCCACTTTTGCAACTGGCCCCACCCACCATCGGAATGTGGCCCCCAGAAGGTTGCACACTAGTAAATGTGGACCAAAATGGGCTCCCCTGCCCTGGTGCAGGCGACGCAGGCGTGCAAACGTGAAAATGCACTACTCACAAGAGAAGCGTTCACATGTCTGTGCAAGTAGACGCTGCCTGAGCTGGTCAGTGGGACTTCCTTTGCGATCAGCTTGTCTGTGATCACTCCGAAGTGGATCGTTCCAAGGTAATCTGAAAGCACATGTTACAAGTCTTGAGGAAAGAAAGGAAAGAGGCCCAGCCGCCATAACTACACAGCCTCCTTCTCTTCCACAGCTGGAAGAGAAGACTCTGAAAAACAAGCAAGCGTACACACACACACACACACACACACACAGAGAGAGAGAGAGAGAGAGCTCAGCTCAGCTTTCCTGGCGTTTTACACAGGAAATACAAGCAATATCCTCTTATTAATCCGCACTTTCCACCTGTGGGCAGAATGCTTCAGGGTTAAAATTCTACCTCAGCTTGCGTTTTAAGAAAAAGGGCGATTATACAACAGGATTTCGGCTGAAAAACACACTGCAATACAGATAATGAAATAAAAGATCCTCCATATGAGAAAACAAGAGAGGAGTTGGAGCAGCACTTTTGGATTCTTTAGGCCTTAAGGAGGGGGGGGAAGCCCTCCCAGAGCTGGAGTTTTCCTCCTTCGTTCTTCACATCCAGGACCTGAAGGAGGGGAAAGGGGTCTGTGACAACACTGAAGAGTAAAGCTCTCCTCAGAATTAGTAAAAATAAGGTGTTAACAGGAGGGACTGACGCAGGCGGTATAAGACAAAGGCTCTCTCCGCCACGTGCACGGCAGTGTCCTTTGTGGTGGTGATCTTGTTTCAAATGAGTCATGCGCTCAATGAGTTTCAACGAGTGGAAATATTGTGGGCGAAATTAAAAGGTGCCAATATGGCAAGCAGCCCACCAGCTCTGCTGTTCCAGCGGCAGTAAAGAAAAGCAAGCGGAACCCAGTCCCTTTCCACGTGCCACCAAATTGGTCCCTGCCACCCACAGCTCTGCCCTGGCCCATCATTTAGAAATTGATGCGTGAGCAATTGCCCTCAAACAAAATGATGCTTAAGAGCATGGGTAGGCAAACTAAGGCCCGGGGGCTGGATCTGGCCCAATCCCCTTCTAAATCCGGCCCACGGACGGTCCAGGAATCAGCGTGTTTTTACACGAGTAGAATGCGTCCTTTTATTTAAAATGCATCTCTGGGTTATTTGTGGGGCATAGGAATTTGTTCATTTTTTCTCTCTCCAAAATATAGTCCGGCCCCCCACAAGGTCTGAGGGACAGTGGACCGGCCCCCTGCTGAAAAAGTTTGCTGACCCCTGCTTAAGAGCATCACGTTCATTCCTCAATGCTCTTCCTCTCCTCTATCAACATATATCTTTGCCCGCCTGGAAAGCGCCCTTGAACCCCTTCTGGTCCGAATGGAAGATAAGCGTGTATAGAAACAAGCCCGCTGTACAAAGGGAAGATTTACATCAATTGCTCCACCCACTTTTGCCTCTGGCCCCGCCTTTCCCTGGCATGTGGCCCTCGGAAGATTGCCCAGGTTGAAAAAGGATCCCTGGTCTGTAATCTCCAGGGTTTTCTTGGTGGGTAATCTTGGTGGGCAGCTCCTTTTAAAAGGAGGCTGCTGGACTTTAAATGATAGAAGCTTTCTAAGCAATTAGATGCGTCTTGGCTCAGGGGAGGAGAGGGGGAACGCAAGCCTTTTAATGTTTTTCACCATGTGGCTGATGAAACATCGCAGCAATTCCACATCGAGCCAGACAATAAACGGGAGGCCTGCCCCACAGCAACCGCCTCTCCTTTGAAGCAGTCCCACCCACCCCCACAAGAAATCCTATCATATTCCTCAACGTGCAAAAGAATTCAGGTCACTTTAGAGCTCAGGGTATGGAGGAGAGCACAAATACATCTCTGCTTTTAAAAAAACACACACAAAAAGCCAGCAGCCTTTAGAAATTCCAAATGGCTACAAGTCAGATCATGCATTACAATCACATTTTCCGCCACCAGTGAGCATCTTTCAAAGAGTGCTGCTCCAGGTGATCTTGAGGATTTTTCTACGTGCATAAAAATGCACACAGAGCTGCAAACTCAGCATGAAATGTGTCTAATTACCTGCTGCACTCAGTCCCAGAGAGGGCAAGGCTCTATCCATTCACTTTCTTTACAGGCCTGCGACCAAACATTTAAGCAGAAATGGGGCTGTGCCCCACGAGTGTCATGGATCCTCCCTTTTGGTTGGGTTGTCAGGGCTGGGCTACAGTGAGTAAGGAACCCCAAACTGCAAGGTGGGTCAGTAGGCAAAACCAACCTTGGTCTCCACTTCCTAGAGGAAGGACTTCTGGCAAGAGATGGGTTGCACTTAATAAGAAGCTGGCAAGCGTGGATTTGCTAAGAGTCTTGTGAAGCTGATAAGGAGAGCTTTAAACTAAATCCTGAGGGGGAGGGAGACAATAGTACAGATGACAGGGGAACACCTGGTACTGGGGATAATAGCTTCACTGATGCACATGAAACTGAGGTGGTGCTCCAGAAGCCTGCTCCAGGGGACGAAACTTAGAAGAAGGAAGCAGCTGGAGGGAATGACTTGTGGTTTCAGTTGTCTCTATACTAATGCACAGAGTATGGGAAACAAATTCAGAGCTATATTTGGTCCACATTAGCCTATGCTAGTGAATTATGGTCCTGGAGGAGACTCTTGAGAGTCCCATGGACTGCAAGAAGATCAAACGTATCCATTCTTAAGGAAATCATCCCTGAGTGCTCACTGGAAGGTCAGATCCTGAAGCTGAGGCTCCAATACTTTGGCCACCTCATGAGAAGAGAAGACTCCCTGGAAAAGACCCTGATGTTGGGCACAAGGAGAAGGGGACGACAGAGGACGAGATGGTTGGACAGTGTTCTCAAAGCTACCAGCATGAGTTTGACCAAACTGTGGGAGGCAGTGGAAGACAGGAGTGCCTGGCGTGCTCTGGTCCAGGGAGTCACGAAGAGTTGGACACGACTAAACGACTAAACAACAACAACAACAGCCTATGCACAGAGAGACTCACTTTCCAGCATGGAAATGGACCCTACATTCTGAGAATCTCAACTTGCATTTAAAAAAACAAAACAAAAGAAAGCAGCAGGCTGGTTTTGAAATCATAATTATGGGAACTGGCTTGGAACTGTCTCATGTCCTCCTTACTCTCCTTTGAAAACCATTCCTACAGTGCGGGGGGGGGGAGGGTGAGAGGAGGACTATAGGAAGCAAACTATGTGCAAGCAGACAACTGGGAAACCCCCAGGAATCCTGTCTTGTTTGAAATTCAGAAGCCCTGCTGCAGCCAGCCCTGCTTCTGTATAGGCTTACGACGGTTGCTTAACCTGCCAAGAGCAAGAGGCTTTAACCTGCTACAAGCACACATTACAAAGCTGGCAGGCTCACATTTCACTCTCCCTAACCAGTGTGGGACTCTATAATTAATGAAGCAATCAGAGAGAGTTTTGGCAACAAAGGAGGAATCGAAGAAGCAGTTATTTGCTTTCCAGAAGATTACCGGGGGGGGGGGGAGGGGTGCGGAAGGAAGGATGCACAATCTCACACACACTCAAGGGTGCTGGTGACATCACTTTGGGGAAAGTCTGCACCTAAGGAATCTGAGCAGAGGCAGCTGCCCATGGATCGGCTTTGCTACCAAGAAACAAGCGTGGCCAACTGACCTGGGGCGTTTCCCCCAAAGCAGAGCATATTGGCAGCGAGGCAGCAATCCATCTCTCAAGGGCAACCAGGAGTCTCACGAATGGCATTCTGCTGCCCCTTATGGCCAGCCACTGAGAGAAGGCCCCACAGGCTGTCTTATCTGCCCAGGTTCCAGCCTGCCACCAAGCCAGCCTGGCAGTCTTGTGGGCTGCCTCTGGCTTGGCTGGCTGTAAATGTTTCAAAATCTAGCCTGGGTCTTTGCGCCTGAGCAAAGGCTCCTTTTGATGCTTTCAAAGTCAGAAGAGCCTTGCTGGATCAGAGCAAGGGTCTGTCTTGATGCTACAGATACTAGCCACTACCACCCCTGGAGACGTGCTATTTCCAGCCTCAGGAAAGGCATGGAGAACGTTATCCATTCATTGGGTTCTGAATATTCACTACTCCACCCTGCAGAGTTGAAAACCCCCTAAACAATGTAAGAATCTAAGAAGAGTCCATCTAGTCTAGTATCCTGTTCTTACAGTGGTCAACCAGATGCCTGTGGTAAGCCTGAACGCAGGACCTGAGCACAGGAGCCCTCTCCCCACCTGTGATTCCCAGCAACTGATATTCAGAGGCATTACTGCCTCAGATAGTGGAATACAGTCATCATGGCTATTATCTAGAGAATCTGATTACCCAGGAAGCAAGTGCTCCCCTAATTCTGTTGCATGTTGAGTCAGGACACAGCCCTAGGAAATGCAGAGTTATTCGAGGTCAGTTCCTTAGATTAAAGGAATTCAGTTCCTCACTTGTCCAAAATATGTAATTTAGAGTTTATTTTAAGTGCACTGCAACCCTATATTAATGACTCTTCTCTCTTTCAAGGCAATTTGGCACAGCTGCTTTAAAGAGCTGCAGGCATGGGCTCCATCTCTTAGCACACAGGTCAAGGCAGGAGTCAAACCCAAGGCTACGGCCGCCAGGGACGAGTTGGTGGGGTATGGCTTTTGGCACAGTATCTGATGCATCCTTCTTTCACACTCTCCTTTTCAAGAGCAAATGTCTTGACCCTGTGTTTGCAGAGATAAAAGTAAAAATGGATGGACCCAACCTGATTCAAAAACACCCACCCCACTCACACACGAAAACAAAGTTCAACACAGCCAATCACAAACAAGCAACCGCACCCTAGGCAAACCACAATTTCTCTCACCACCAAAGGAACACAAGCAAATAGCAAAGAGAACCTGCACAAACGACGCTGACACAAAAACCCACACATACATTAAGCAAAATAGAAATATCGCCTCCCGACCCCACCCCCAGCCACCATGGCCCCTTCCACCTCTTCTCCCCATTTTTCTTCCTAATGTAACCCTAATGTCTCAACAAATGAAACTGACCCATGGAAAATGTAACTTGAAAAAAGAGACATTGCGCATACCTTTGTAAACCAAGAAAACTTTAATAAAATATTTTTAAAAAATATGGATGGACCCCCACTTAAAACTCCAAGATGGGCAGTGCCTTTGCATCCTCTCAAATACATTGAAGCCAGCTCTCCCCTTTTCTTTGCAAGTCATCAAGGGTTTAATTAATCAAGTGTACATTTTTTTTAAACTGGCACATAACCTCTGTGCAGCACTGACTTAAGACAGTGGGCCCTCCTCTCTCAACTCTCTGCCACAAAAATAAATAAGGAGAATACGTAAGGGGGGAGGGGAGGGAAATGTATAGTATCCAGGCTGATTTCATCCTTGGGACAGAAATAATAGGAGTAATAAGACTGCATAAAGGAGTTCATTGGGTTTTAGTTTGTTGGCCAAAGAAATGGCAAAAGAAACCAAGCCGAACTTGGTCCAAGATAAACAGCAAACGCAGATAAAGCAACTTGTTGACAGGATACAAAACGACGGAAACGGCATGTTGCAAGCGCGACCTCTGCTCTGCACTTAGAACATACATTTCAGCACTGAGTAGGAGGGCAGAGTGCCAGGACAAAAGGTTTGGATGCCCCAGATTGTCATTTAAAAAGCAAATGGCCCTTTCAGAATCTGGATGAGGTTGGGAAAGTGCTTCCTTTCGTAAGACTCCTGCACTATCACTGCAGAACTTTAGGTTTTAAGAGCACCAAGATGGTGGGATCTTTAATGCTTTGTGGTGCCTGGACATGGAGAGCATGCCCTGCCCACAACTGGTCTTCGTCAGGAGAGAGGGCGAGGCATAAAAGCAACGTGCAAACTGCTTTCTTTGCATATGCAAGATGAGTGGACTTTCGCAGTCGATGCGAATGCACAGAGCAAGCATTGAATTCAGAAGGGCTTGCTTCCAAGTGAAGAGCGTTTAGGACCAGACTACCAGTAATGCAGTCATATTGATGTGTGGCTGTCTCCTGAAAACGTCCCCAAAGTGGTACAGACTGGGGCGGGCTGGGTCTCCATCTGGGCAGGCACTGAATTCCACAGGACCGGCTTTCTAGTACAGTGGTACCTCGGGTTAAGAACTTAATTTGTTCCGGAGGTCCATTCTTAACCTGAAACTGTTCTTAACCTGAAGCACCACTTTAGCTAATGGGCCTCCTGCTGCCGCTGTGCCACTGCTGCACAATTTCGGTTCTCATCCTGAAGCAAAGTTCTTAACCCGAGGTAATATTTCTGGGTTAGTGGAGTCTGGAACCTGAAGCGTCTGGAACCTGAAGCATCTTTAACCCGAGGTACCACTGTACATATGCTTAGAAATCCTGCAGCTACATCGTTCAAAGCCACTGAAAAGCACATGGCTGCAAGGAGAATTTTGAGGAATGGTGTAAACTGAAAGGCCATTTCACACATTACAGGGCAGTGGACCTGGGTTTTCCACAATGCACAACTCAGCAGATAACTTTAGCTCAATCCCAGTTCCTCAATCGATCATTTTGATGCACATAGCAGCAAACAGGTAACATGCGTGAGTAAAATAGCCGAAAGCCACCAGGCCCCATGGTTTTCTGGAACTTTCCTGCCCCACAATTCTTTGACTTATAAGGCAGTTACAGTATTTTTCCATGCATAAGACACCCCCCATGTATAAGACAACCCCTATTTTTTTAACCCCAAATTAGGAAATTCAGTTGTTAAGCTTTGGGGGGGGGGTCACCACTGCCAATCGCTCACCCGCCCATCACTTGCCGCAACCACTGCCGATCACACACCTTGCCGCAGTTGCCAATTGTCTGCCCACTCGCTGCCAACAGCCCACCCATGCACACCAAAGCTGATTGCCCGCATGCCTCGCCACAGCCACCAACCACCCACCCAATTGCCACAGCCACAGCCAATCACCAGAAGGCCTTGCCGCAGCCACCAATCACCCGCCCAATCGCTGCAGCCAATCTCCTGTTCGCTGCTGCCACCAATCGCCTGTCCCCACTCTGCATTCACTATCCATGTATAAGAGAACCCCCAATTTTTGCCTAATTTTTTAGCAAAAAACATTGTCTTATACACTGAAAAATACAGTGTTTGTAAGTGGAGAGATGAGAATAAAAGGCCAAGAGCTGGGTGGAATTAGTAGTAATATGGTCAGCTGGCAAATCTACTCCAGGCAGCGCGATCAATACGTACTTTATTAGTGAGATAGTTCTTCCATTACTAGAGTGTTTCATCTAATGCAGAAGGCTTGGCAAACGACAGTCAATACCGATTTTAGTTCTCCCCCACCCTTGTAGTTTCACCACAACGTACACTTTTACCCGGCACCAAACAATTCCTGCCAAGGTCTAACTGAGCTAATTGGGAGTATATAAAGAATGCTATGCCCCCAAAATAAGCCACCAGCCGATTTGTTATTATTTTTTTGCAGTCCTACCCTCTTCTCAGGAGGATGCAAGGTGGCTGTTTCTGTTGTCATGGAAACAACAAAAAGACGTCTCCTTTGGAACAGCAGTTCAACTCCTCCACATCAGTTGCTAAACTCTCCCCGTTGCAGAAAGAGAAGCCTTGAGATGAAGATTTGCATCTTGTGCCCGTGTGTCCAGTGCTATAAACCTCAAGCACTCTATCCTGTACTTTTACCTTGCGAACCGCCCCGAGATCTTTTGAGGAAGGGCGGTATATAAATTCAATAAATAAAATTAAAATAAATAAATCAAGAACAGGAGAGGACTGTAGCACTCAGGCCAGCTTGTGGGCTTCCCAGAGGCATCGGGTTAACAACCGTGGGAAACAGGATGCTTGACTAGATAAGTCTGTGATCTGATCCCGCAGGAATCTACTGATGTTCTTATATTCACAGCGGGGTGCGTTGCGTGGCTCGTTTTTGAGAAACTGCTGACGCGCACGGAGAGTGTAGTAATCCAACATGTAGCACAGACAACAATGAGCAAACCTAGCCCAAATCTTCCCTCTCATTCCAGTTCCATGTTTTGCTTTTACAGCTTCATGAAGTAAAGTTGCTGGTGTCATTACAGGTCATGCATCACCCAAGCAGCAGCATCCCCTGGCCTGAAAACCTCCCCACTACCCAGACTGAAATGAACAGGAGCCATGCAACAACTGCACCATTTCAAAGGGGCTTTGGCAAGAGAACTTCCCTCAGGGGACTCTGCCCTATGTTAATTAGCGAGAGGGGGCGCCATTTAGATTTCCCACCTCAGGTGCCTAAATGACGTGGGCAACCGTTCTTCTTAACTTCCATGTTTTGCAACTGAAGCTTGCTGGCTTTCGACAGAGAACAAAATGTGACAGGAAATTTTGTCAGCGTTTTTGGCTGAGAGCCCCCACCGAGATGTCTTGTGATATATTTAGTCCATTGTGTGCAAGAAGCCAAAATATATTTTCAACATGCTCCTGCTCAGGAAGTTTTATCGTGGCCAGGCCTGCGCAGCCTGTCAAAGTCGGCCTGATAACATTGGTATGGGATTAATAAATGTGATGACGGTGATTGTTTTGAAAACAGTGCTAAATATAAAGTCAAATGCATTCTGCAGACAATGGAAAGAAAACCAACGACATCCCATCATTCCCACCCACAAATTAGGCATGGTGACATTCAATCAAATGTAACATTAAACAGTGGTTTATACGGGTAATCGAGTTTACCTTTATTTAATGAATGCAGAGCTGAAGTGAAGAATGTCAGATAACCAGGTGGTTGGGGCGAAGCGTTGAACTCGAAATATCCCAAAACTCCTGGCTGCAAAAACGAAACAAAAACACAAGAGAACACATGAGAGGTGCTGCACTTATTTACCATTACAGGGAAAAACAACACAATGGGCTTTGGTTTATTTATGTAAATATTTAATCCTTGGGCCTTGCTCCTCCATTGTCAATGCAGTCCTGTAGTTTGGAAGGATTGTTAATATTTCCCATTGAGTACATATTCCTAGATGGAGACACAGAGGGTTGTTCTCACCAGAGTAGCTGCAAACTCCAGGTCCATTCAAAAAGTTGTGGTGGGGAAATCCTGACTGGTTTCTGACCAACACCAACAATGGCACACACAGACAGAACTTCATCTCAGCTGGATCCCACCTCCACCTCTAAGATAATATCTAAATTCCACCTGATTTCACTCAGTGGTATCACACCTTTGAGCCTTCACTAGGCTTGGCTCCCAGTACGTTTCCGAGCACATTTCAAAGTGTTGGTGCTGACTTTTAAAGCCCTAAACGGCCTCGGCCCAGTATACCTGAAGAAGCGTCTCCACCCCCATCGTTCAACCCGGACACTGAGACTCCGAGGGCCTTCTGGCAATTCAATCACTGCGAGGTTACAGGGAACAAGGAAGAGGGCCTTCTTGGTAGTGGCACCCGCCCTGTGGAACGCCCTCCCATCAGATGTCAAGGAAATAAGCAACTAGCTGACTTTTAGAAGACACCTGAAGGCAGCCCTGTTTATGGAAATTTTTAATGCTTGATGTTTTATCGTGTTTTTAATATTTGTTGGGAGCTGCCCAGATGGGCAGGGTACGAATAATAAATTATTATTATTATTGCACCACTTCAAGGAGAAAGGCCATAGGTCAGCAGGAAAGCATGAACACTGCATACCACAGCTCCCAGCTTCAAGTCCTGGAATTTCCAGGTAGAACTGGTCAATGGACCTAGCTGTGATGATGGAGAGTCACTGCCAGTCAGTGTAGACAACACTGAGCTAGAATGATCAGTAGTGTGACTTGGTATATGGTACTTTCCCATGTTCATAAATCACATTTCTTACTAGATTTGTAACTCCACCTTCCAAGCAAAACACTTCGCAGCGTGGCTTACAAACTGAAGCCGTGTCCAGCTGCCTTAAACCAGAGTTTTAATATGTGGGTGAGATTCATGCCACAACACACAACTTGACTGCTCCTGTTTTGTTCCTCTCTTCCTCCAGCAGGGAAACAACTAGGGATCAGCTGGCTTAGAGTGACTGAACTGGCACTTGTTGTCTGTTTCTCTCCAGACAGCCACAATCTGAAGCCAAGGTTTTTTTCTTGGCTTCCCAACTGTGGTGTGTTTGCTGGTTTGGACACAATGCTCAGCCAGCCACTCTGTGGCTTCACTCCCTACTGGAAGAAAGGAGGAGGAAAGCAGGAGGTGCTTGGAAGAAGACTTGCTCACTACATGTGGCTTATGGCTTAGCATTGTATTTGAACGCAGCCTAAGAATGGTATTTCAAAAAGAATGCAGACGTTCTATCTGCGAAAGGATAAAGAACAGTGCCGCCATGTATGTTGAGATTCAAAGCACTCAGAACAGGCAAGGAAAGAAACTTCAAACCAGAAAGTGAAGCCACAAAAGTTTCTAATAAACTTTTCTGTGGCTCATGAAAACACACGCCCAGTACTGAATGCCTGTACAGTGGTACCTCGGGTTAAGAACTTAATTCGTTCTGGAAATCCATTCTTAACCTGAATCTGTTCTTAACCTGAAGCACCACTTTAGCTAATGGGGCCTCCCACTGCCTCCGGAGCACAATTTCTGTTCTCATCCTGAAGCAAAGTTCTTAACCCGAGGTATTATTTCTGGGTTAGCGGAGTCTGTAACCTGAAGCGTATGTAACCCGAGGTACCACTGTAGTCCCCCTTCCTACTGCAAGCCAAGCAGGCTGGTTGCATATGCACAGTGTTGAGAAGAATTTGCTCCAAAGACAAACAAATATTATTATCATGTGCTCCAGGACAAAGTACAGGTACTCAAAGCAACACAAATCCTGCTCAGGTGATAAGAAACCACCAGGTGACACAACCACAACCGACAGGAGATTCCATGCTGAAGCCACTTTCCAAAAAGGTGGCACCAGATTTTGTGCACGAGAGTTTTGTCTGTTTAAACATGCATAGGATGTTTACATATTTTAACCCGAGTTAGAGACTAGGATCAGAGGGATAAAATGGGAATGAAAAGACAACAGGAATGAGCTTTACTAGCTCCCTAATATTTGCTGCTGGGAAAGGCTTTAATACTAGCTGTGATCCAAAATCAACACAGAGGCCTTCAAATATTTCCTGCTGGTTCCCCCTTGTGGCTCTAAACTTTATGTCCAACAACATCATCACGGGCAAACTTGAAAACAGTGACTTGGATTTCAAAGTGACGTGGAACTCTGCGCAGCTATCTTGGGCCATCTGTGTAGGTGCATCAATCTTAAATCAGCTCATTTTTGAAAACTGACATTAAAAAAGGTCTATGGACTAGTAACTTGCGTGCAACTTCAGCTGGTATGCCCAAATGAAGCAGCACAGAGTTCTGCGCTTTTCAGACGCTGGAAAGGCTTTGGGGGAAGAGGCAGAGCTGGAATCACAGACAGGGACAGAGATAAATAAAGACTACTGCACCTACTGAGGCCCTGTGAAGCAGAGCAAAGGTTTGCTCTAACAAGGGACTCCTTGAGCTTCCTGTAGTTCCCTGCTCTTCCTCTGATGCAGAAACCCCATCTCTAGTCCTGCTTCCCATTCTGTCCTCTGGGACACTGTGGATCTATCCCTCCCTATGCTTATAGAAAGGCCTGAGCCTGCACGGCTGTTCACACCTGATCCCTGAAAAGGCAGCGTGCAGGACGCCAAGAGCCAAGGAGCTGACCCATCAGGCCTCAGTTCTAATGGGCCAAAAATGCTTTTAGACAAGGCTGTGCTCCCATAGGGAAAGGCTTCCTTGGGGCTATCAGAAAGGAAAATAGAACCTTTTGACACACGCACTGCAGGTTCAACACCCCCTCCCCACACCTGACAAGATGGAGAAGCATCAGCATCAGAGCTGTAGCTATGAATTGACCAGGGAGCATGATCAGGGGTGGCCATGGGCTTCCAGGTGTTGTCAAGACTCCAACACAGCCCCGGTCAGCAATGACAGCAGCTGTAGTCCAACAACATCTGGAGGACCAAAGGTTCTACACTTAGATTAATGGGCTTGAAGGCATATTTGACCTCCCCAAAAATGCCTCCTGGTTAACTGGGTAACTATTTCTTAAACCTATTTTGAAATTGTCTATGAAAGCCGAAAGTATGAGGCACCATATCATTCCCCCTTTGCTCTCACTTTGGATAAGGGAAGGCTTATTTTAAGATGGGGAGATGCTGCAAAACAGGCATACATGTAGCCACCTAACCTCAAGGAAAATAATGCTTCCCCCCTTCAAAATGATTGCCCCCCCCCAATTTAATCAGTTGATGAAATTCATTTGATATCTTTGGAATGAACGGTTCTAAAGTTATGGGTCCTCTCTGACAACATGCTAGCACACGCACACACATACTGCAGGTGAGACTTCTCAACACGGCTGCAGTCACAGCCAATCGTCTTCAGAATTTTACCCAGGGATCAAGCCAAACAGGAAGAATGTGAGCCAGCGTGTCAAAAATACGGTGGCAGAGAATACTGGTTTCCAGTAACCTCAGAAAGAAAACAGAGTCCATTCTTTGTAACCAGAAGCAAGATCATCCTTGAAAGAAACACAAACCTTCCTGGAGTCATCAATGGCTAGATCAAAGAGCAGAGGCAAGTTACCTCATAATTGGAGAGAAACTGCTGAAGTTTTGATCGGGATGAGATGTAAAGCAGGGGAGTCATCACTCGGCGGACAAATTTTTCAATGTAAACAGCATTCATCGGGCCTTTGTATTCGATGGGCCCAAAGCTGGCATTGAAAAGGAAAGAAACCAAATACTGTGTTAAAAGTTTGAAAAGTTAAAATTGCAATTCCTAACCTAATAAAGAAAGACCTAGAGCTGGTCAAGGCTAAGAGTGAGCATTTAAGACAAGCCTTTGCCAACCAGGTGCCTTCCAGATGTTTTGGCCTACTGTTTGCCCCAGCCAGCACAGCTGGAGCTGATGGGAGTTGTAGTCCAAGGGCACCAGGCTGGCAAAGGTTGATTTAAGAGCTGAAAGGTCTGAGGTAGAAGTTTTAACAATAAATGTGAAATGCGGAAATTACTGCCGGAAATGTGGGTGGTCAACACTGTGGCATGGACAAATGTTCTCTCTGCCTTGCCTGAACAGGAGTACGGGGGCTTCTAGATCTGGCTGAATCCAGAGTTAGGCCTACATTCCTGCCTGCCTCTCAAAAGTGGTACTGCTACTCCCCACACCCTGATTCTGGAAGGTGGAGAGGGAAGGTGGAAGGAGCTGAACATGAATCATAATGCACAATATTTGGTCTTTGATTATGGCAAAAGAGACGGCCGTTACCAGCCAAGAATATATACACGCTGGGTGGGCAAAACCAGATAAGGCAACTCAAAAGACTCTTTAAACTGGAACAAAATACATTCCACTCACCCTGTGGCTTTGTCATCCTAATCTCAAATGGCGGTTTTATTCAACGTTTGTGCAAAGTGACTCAGCACATGCAGACATAAAGATAAATGCAAGGAATTCTAACCCGCTGCTCTGGGGCATTCTGCTACAGTTTTTGACTGACAATGCATATGGAGCAAATAGTGAGGCACCCCCAGCTCTGCTGTGTATTGTGGCACTTTGGAGACAGAGCAGGGGAGAAACAGCAAATTGTAAGCAGCATGGACAAAACAGCCGTCACCAGCCTTCTGGTTGTCTCATCAGATCCAGAAGCCTTCGCTGTCCTTGTGCCAGCTTCCACTATAGCTAATCAGGCAACCATTTGAACCTAAATGCAATGCAAGCTGCCTCACTGAGCAGCAAGTTCACCAGGTCTGGAAACCTGGCCAATGGCCCATCTAGTCCCACATCCTGTTCTCACAGTGGCCAGCCAGTTGCTCTTGGGAAGCCTCAAAGCAGGAACTCCGCACTTGTGTTCCACAGCAACTGATATTCAGAGGCAGTCTCCCCGCAGCTGTGGAGGTAGAATACAGCCATTCTGGCTGGTAGACATCAATAGCCTTAGCCTCCATGACAACGCAGGCAATTGCAAAATGTTTTGAAAGACCGTGGATCTCTGAGCATGCAATTGCTCTTTCGATAACCCCTCAAAGCTTCCATTTTGCAAACGGAACCGTTCAGCTGCAGTTCTAGCTGACTGCTCCTCTAAGCTTAGCTAACCAAACTGAATGCTTGGATGCAATAAATGCCAAAGAGCAGAGGGATAGGGAGCTGATGGTGATAAGGAACTCGGATCTGTGCAGAGATCCTATTTCCTGCCGCTCTCCCCTTCCAATAGTCTGTCTTCTGATCAACAGAAACAATCTCCGTATCATTTCCCAACTTCCCCACTGTACTCATAAGGCCTAATGGCACACTGTCTTTTTAAATTAGTGCTTAGATATTGGAAAGGCTTCAGCTTATGAATTAGAAACCACAATTCTATCACCATGGATGCCTGATTATATGCCTCACAGCAGAACATCACATTCTATTTAGCAAGAAACTGAATTACCAAAGGAAAGGACTGTACAACCTTGACACATATACAGAAGGGAACTTTCCTGACATGATGGAAAAAGGACACACCCCAGTTCCATACCTCCAGCAAACCTGACAAACAAGAACATTCACACCAAGGTGCAGGAGGTTACGTCCCTTAACTCATGAAGCAAAATAAGATTCCTTGAATCTCAGTAGCTGATTTTCATGAGGCAAGAGGAAGGAGCAGACAGGATTTGGTCAGGGGTGCTAACCACGCTTAGCAGGAGACAGACATCTGCTCTGAGCAGAACCTGCCGCCCCACCCCAGTGATTCCTATGAGCAATGTAAGTTTGAAAACTGGTTCTCAGGGGAACTTAACTGACAAGGCACACTGTTTGGGTGGGTGGATAGCCTTGTTCAGCTGATAAAGCCTTACCTCCGATGGTACAAATATATAACCGGAAAGTAAAAGAAATGTTTCTGTTTCCTGCATTTCCCTTGGTTCCACCAGCAGTTGATCGCCACAAACAGCACCTGCAAAAGGGCCGGGGTGGGGGGATGGAGAGAGTAAATACAAATGTTTGGCACAACCCGTAAATCACTTCTTGAGGCAAGCACAGAAGTCAGCAAACTTGAGGGCCAAAGGCTTGATACACTGCAAGGAGGACATGTGCAACCCTGGAGAATGCAGCCTGATCACAAGTGGCCGAAGTCTTTCTCTAGCTGCTGGCTATACATTTACTAGGAGGGGTTATAGCTGTACTGGGGAGCTGCAGACGCGATTTAAGGGTGGATAACCAAATCCCTGACAGGGGCAACTTGTCTGTGAATCCCAGTTACTCACAAGTGACGAGAGTGCCGCTGCACTTAGGTTCTGCTTGTGGGCATCTAGTTGGCCACGGTGAGAATAGAATGCTAGACTAGAATGAATTTTGGTCTGATCAAGCAGAGCTCTTCATAGGTTCTTAAATTAGTACAGGGAAAAGTGCAGGTGCTTGGCACAAAAAATGCACATCCTGCAGATCATTATGTAGGTCAAATCAAATATTGATTGCTTAGCCAAGCGCTTTCCCCAAATCATACAATAAAAATGGTACTCTTCTCAAAATTTAATTAAAAGAAACTGATAGCATAATATGCTGTGGTATCGAATCCACTGGTGTATCTAATGTCTTTTACAACGATAAAATGAAAAACTGTAACACTATTAACTAGGGCACTCACTACAAAAAAAGGATCATACTCGTTCACAATTCAACTCAGCGCTATAACGAGGTCAGCGGTCTCCTGTCTTTGGTCTGATCCATGTACTGATCTTCTTCATTTACCTGCTAGCCGAACAGATTTTAACTGAATCCTGTTTTTACGGCTTTAACTGATTTTTTTATTGTCGTTATATTGTGCTCCATGTGCACCACTTAGGAGATGGAGTAATTAAGCAGCATATAAATGATATTAAATAAACACATCTAAATCATGCTGGCAAACAGTCCTATGGGAATTCAGCCCATTCCTTCTTAATAAATGAAACCACAAATAGAACCCTAGTTGTGTCAGTCTCTTTTCTCCACCAAGCACTTTTCTATAAATTTCTGTTGAGAGCAATTAACAAATTGACAGGGTTTTTGCAGAGCAGAGGAGCCACTTCTAGCATGCACAGCCTGCCGTTTTCAGGGACCGAATGCTCAGTTTGAAATTAGCAAGATATCAGGGTGCCTCTCTCCAAACAAATCTGATGAACAAGAAAAGTAACTTAAAGCAACAGCTGCACCCCTCCCTGCCCAATCCGCCTTACCTGGTCTGCCAAACTGCTTGCCACTTTCTCAATCTCTTCTCTCACTGCAACAGACTGCCCACACCACGGAGCGTAGAAGAAAAAAAGGGTGATTTCCGAATCTTGGCGGATGTCCTCTGCACGATCCAGCTGCCCAAGGAAAAGATCGCAGACTGGAGACGTTGAAGAGAAGAAGCTGACTGGAAGCTTTGCTGGCATTGTCACATCTTTTGCGCGGCTATTTGGGGGAGGAAGAGAGATGCATGTGCATATGTCAGGTATCATGGGCGTGCAAATGTTGAGATCAACAGAACTTCACATTCTCTCGCTTGGTCAGTTGGCAAAAGCTAAAAAGCAGCTTAGGGACATGCTTCCAGATCTGCAGAGCATAAACCAGTTACTATGGACCGGCAACTGCCTTCTTCTGCTGTTGCACCCAGCAGAACTAGTATTCTGAGCCATGACACCTGATTCTGAAGGAAGTATAGAGCCTCTGTGAACAGCAGTCATTGGTAGCCCTATCCTCTGTGACTTTACAGCACTCTTAAAACCACCATCACCTCATCTTGTGCCAGTGAATTCCATTGTGTGCTATATGAAAAAGTACTTTCTTTCCCCTGTCCCTCCCATTCAAGCAGGCCTCTCAGTGATAGCACCCAGACTTTGGAATGCCCTCTCTCAGGTGATTCGTGAGGTGGAGACCGTAAGGACCTTTAAATGCCTTTTAAAAACTTACATCCTGGACTCTTTGTAAATTATTATTCATTTTGTACACTGCTCAGTTTTATTTGTGAGATATAGCTGAGTTTTGCTTTTATCTTGTTTCTAGGAAATCTTATTGGATACTGTTACCGATATGTTTATTTGCTTTTACATAAAATGTGTAGAGATTTTTACTATATTAAGCAGCATAAAATGTTTGTAAGCAAACAAACAAATTTAGGAGGGGCAGACGAAAAAAAGAAGAGTACTTCTTCATACTAGATTGCCCTCAGGCCCAGCATATGGGAATCCCAAAAGGATAAAGTTGGCCACTTTGGAAAGCAGGATACTGGGCCAAATAGGCCTTTGGTCTGATTCGGCAGCATTCTCTTTATGTTTACTGTAGTTCTACTTTTAAAAAGGTAAAGGTAAAGGGACCCCTGACCATTAGGTCCAGTCATGACCGACTCTGGGGTTGCGGCGCTCATCTCGCTTTATTGGCCGAGGGAGCCGGCGTACAGTTTCCGGGTCATGTGGCCAGCATGACTAAGCTGCTTCTGGCGAACCAGAGCAGCGCACGGAAACGCTGTTTACCTTCCCGCCGGAGCGGTACCTAGTTATCTACTTACACTTGGATGTGCTTTCGAACTGCTAGGTTGGCAGGAGCAGGGACCGAGCAATGGGAGCTCACCCCGTCGCGGGGATTCGAACCGCTGACCTTCTGAGCGGCAAGTCCTAGGCTCTGTGGTTTAACCCACAGCACCACTCGCGTCCCTAGTTCTACTTTACTCAGTGGGAATTTGAATTTAAATGAGTTTTGATGTTATAATCTGTGGGAAAAGGGTTGCCTTCCAGTTCTTCTGCACACTGCAGTTCGATGGGAAAAGGCTGCCCTTGCAAATTACTCACAGGCTCTTCTGAGGGTAAAGGGCTGAGTGGGAGATGCATACACAACCCCACAGCATGGCCTCACAGCAGCTCCCATTAGCTTTAAGAGCTGTGTTTCTCAACCCTGAGGCTCCTGCTGCATTACAACAATTAGAAACGCATAATCATAGCACCTAATTGTTGTTGTCGCTCTTTTAAGTCCTCTGTTCTAGAGAACTGTATTACGTTTCTATGGATCACATTTTTATCCAGTCCCATTTCTTGCTGTTTACTGGCATCAAATAAGACCTTTCAAAATGCATTGTGGGGTTTTTTTAATCCTACTGAAACCCTTTTCTGAACAAAGTACATGTGTACAGTTCTCATGGCTGCAAAGATGATTACGGAAAAAGATGCAGGGCCTGAAACAAGAGCTGCCAACATTTTCGTGCAGCCTTGGCTACCTGAAACCCTCTCACCTGATGCCTTGTACACTAGTCAAAATCAAAACTAGGGACACGTCAAGTGTTTTGTGGACACAAAACCGGACTTGCCACTTATATGTACACTCCTTGTGGCTTCCTGTTCAAGGTTTCTGCACCACACACTTGCCTGTAAACATTATTTTGCCACATTCAGATGTTAGATTTTTAGATGTTTGCCACATTAGAATGTTTGCCACATTCAGATGTCAGATGTTAGATCAATTCGCAAGCACATCTTAAAAACATAAGGACTGAAACAGCCTTGAATAACATTACCAAACTTCCAAACCCCAAGCAATAGCTTTTAATTCGTGAACCAGATACCACAGATCACACACTGCAAATTCCATAGCACTTCAAATGCAATAGGAGAAATTTCATGCAGCATGTGGCCGAATGTCAAGTGATGGCACACTGTGCAATGTAAATGCATCTATGAGTCGCAGAACGGTTGGAGGAGGGAAGGAAAGACCCAACGAAGAGTAAAAAAAGGCAGGTAGCAGTAGTAACTAATTCATTGTAGACAAATTAAAGGTAAAGGTAAAGGGACCCCTGACCATTAGGTCCAGTCGTGGCCGACTCTGGGGTTGCGGCGCTCATCTCGCTTTATTGGCCGAGGGAGCCGGCGTACAGCTTCCGGGTCATGTGGCCAGCATGACTAAGCTGCTTCTGGCGAACCAGAGCAGCGCACGGAAACGCCTTTTACCTTCCCGCCGGAGCGGTGCCTATTTATCTACTTGCACTTTGACGTGCTTTTGAACTGCTAGGTGGGCAGGAGCAGGGATTGAGCAACGGGAACTCACCCCGTCGCAGGGATTCGAACCGCTGACCTTCTGATCAGCAAGTCCTAGGCTCTGTGGTTTAACCCACAGAGCCACCCGCATCCCTTTTTTGTAGACAAATTACATGGCAGCTAATCCATGTCAAAGGAACTGGCTAGATGGAACTAACAGGACAGTTGTTTTTTCCAAACAGGTGACAAACAAATGCAGGACAAACCTATCAACAGCTGCTAGCCATGACAGCTAAATGGAGCCCCCATGTACTCAGGCAGTATACCTCTCAATGTCAGATCCTGGGACCAATCAGTGAGGGAAGACCATCACTTTACTGCCATGCTTTCTGGGGGCAGAGCCTGCCAAAAGCATCTGACTGACTTGTTGTTGCAAACGGGGTACTGAATTAGATGCAATTAGATTTCATTAGGGCTCTTTTTTAAAAAAAGGATAGATACAATCCTGGTAGCCAGGTCAATCAGCAGCTGTTAACCACGGTCCCTAAAGGAGGCAATCTATCCTGGGGGGGGAACTCAAGGGGGTTTTTTGGGGGGGGCGACAACAACAATGACAAACAACAGGAAAGGGCTATTGCCTTAAGCTCTACCTAGAAGATTATGTAGGAAGTGCCTTATACAGAGTCAGACCATTGGCCCCGTCTAGCTCTGTAACGTCCACACGGACTGGCAGCAGCTCTCCAGCATTTCAGACAAGGGGCCTTGACCTGCTTGGGCCAGGACCCAGGACATTCTGCCTGCAAAACAGATGCCCTACCCACCAAGCTGCAGCTTGGATGGTGCTCTGAATGGCCCCAACACCCAGCGCTCTGCTTATGCCCAGGGATGCTCTCGCAGTTGCTGCTTGGATGGGCGAGAGAGAGAAGAGAGGGCAGCCCCTTCCTCCTCTTCCCCACACGACCCTACTGCACTTTAATAATAATAATAATATACCACCCCTCTTTTTCCCAGGCGAAGCCACTCGGGAGAAGCTGCCACTCCCTTCCACCCCAACACCTCATCAGCTTGCTGGGGCAAGTGATTCGGATTAAACCTGCTTGGACTCCTGCACTGGTTGGTCGGGGCTCCTTTGTGCAAGCGGAGGCTTTGCATTTTGCACCCCCACGCGTTTCCAGGTGCCCCCATACACCTGAGCATGGGCAGAAAGACCCAAGCTGAGCCCCCCCCCTCCTCAGGTGCGCCTTGGCTTACCTGCAGGTGACTTTGAGGGCGACCAGGAAAGCGCAGCTCAGCACCACCGCGGCGCCGCACAGGACCTCGGGCCGCCGGGCCATGCGGGAAGCGCCGAGCCACGGGGGCTGCGGCTTCTTCTCCTTCTCTTCCTCCTCCTTCTCCTCCTCCTGCTGCTGGTGTTGCGGAGCCTCGGCAGGCGCTGAGGGAAGGCCGGAGTCAGGTCCGGGTCCTCCGCATGCCGACATGCCCTCCTCCCTTCCGCGCCGTCCCTCCCGGCCGGGGCCTGGCCTGCCCGCCCGCCCGGCCTAGGCGGGGCCCAGCGGAGCCCCTCACGCTCGCACACGTCGCTCGGCGGCCGGAGCGAGAGGCGCCTCCGCCGCCGCCACGTCTCCCCGCCCCGCCAACCAGCCAGCCGGCCGCGGAGGTGGGGACGGGGAGGAGGCGCGCGAGGCCTACGCTCCGGCCTCCCCCTCAGGCGGCGGAGCTCCTCGCGCAGGCCCGCCATGAGCCGCGGGGAGAGCGCGGGCTCCGTCGGCCGGGTTCGAAGCGAGGGCAGCGGCGGCGCGGCGGGGGTCTCCCGAGGCGGGCCATGGCGAGGAGGCCTGCCTCCTTTCCTAGGCCTCGGGCTCTTCCAGGAAGGACTGCCGGCGGCTGTTCCCTCACACGGCGCAGGGCTACCCCGTGTGGGAATTCGCTTCCACTTTAAATAAAAATAAATATATTGATCGTTATGTTCCGTTTTTGGCACGCCGGCTCTGGCCCGCAAAGGCCTCGCTGCCTGAGGGTGGAGGGACAAGATGGCGCCGCTCTTGCTCGGCGCAGAGGGCAAACGAACATGGCTGGCCCTTCAACCTCCTTCAGTGCTGACCCCGGGCTATGTTAGGGGGCGCAGGCTAGGTACATTTGGGCACGCCCAACCCTGGTATCTAAGGGTGTAAGAGCAGCCTTGCTGGATCAGGTCCATCCAACCCACCAAGATGTCTGTGGGAAGCCAGGATTCCAGCACAAGAGCTCCTTCCCTCTCCTGTGGTTTTGGAAACATTTATGGCCTCCAGCTGTTGAAGGCACAGCATAGCTAGCCATCACAGCTAGTGGTAGCTATTGGTAGCCCTCTCCTCCATGAATCTGCATAATCCTCCTTTAAAGCCATCCTAAGTTGGTGGCCGTCTGTCATGTGGGGAGCGAGTTTTAATTCTGCTCTGCCGGAAAGACATTTATTCCCACAGCAAGAGTATGTTATGCTGGCTGGCTATGCTTGGTTTGACCATGAATGAATTTTGTCAGTTCATGGTCTCTGGCAAATCTGCATTGGAAGTTCCCCTACATGGGGGTTCAACACACACCAAAAAATCCCAAGCTTTCTCCCTTGCTCACTACGCTTGATCTGGAAGTGGCACAGACACACGTTGAGGTTTGTTGCTTTGCAAGGCTATTCTCATTGCTTCTGTTTTCTGCCCCACATCCAGAGTGCTTTGTACAAATTCTAGGATGGCAGCAAAAGGAGCTAACCTATCTTTCCTTTTACCAAATCAGACCGTTGGGTCCATTTAGCTCAGTATGGTCTACACCGGCAGCAGCTTTCTCCCATGCTGAAATCTGGAACCTGTAGGTCAAGTAGATGCTCTATGACACCCCACACCAGTCTAGCTACTGCACTAAAGGGTTTTCCTAGCCTATTTGATGGGGTCTTGTATCCTATAGCACTCTCAAGGCAGGCTGTAATAAAGATTACAACCCACCCTATTAAAAACTTTCCCAAATGTTTTCTTAGTGCTGCTCAGACGTGCTTACAGGTAGGGGCGCTCTGAATGCACGCACACACCCCGGAAAGAAACCTAAAAAGTGCAGAGCAGGACAACCCTGAGATGCCATCAACAATCAAACATTGTGCACCAAGGGGACTTTGGGTCAGTATTGGGGATCGTAGGATAACCAGGCCTCTGCTGCAAGAGTGCGCAGCTTGGCTATGTTACGTCTTGGTGTGAATTTAGCAGAAAGTCCACAGTAGAAAATGTTCTATTTATGCTGCTGCTGTGGGAGGAAATGAGATCATTTAGCAAACATGCTTTGGATCAGGAACAGGGAATGTACTGCACCTCTCACCACTACATATGTTGCACTACAACTTCCATCCCCTCTGACCACTGGTCATGCTGGTCAGAGTGGGGAGTCTTGAGAGCTTCTGGGAGGAACACAGGTTCCCCATCCCTGCTTTACTGTAGCCATGTGGGATTAAGAGCGTGGAGATGGCAGCTCGCACTCTACCTCAGAAATGCACATATGCATATATTGTACTCTGTTAACATAAAACCAGGAAGTTTGTCTGTGTGTCCAGAATAACCTCTCTTACCCCTTTTGCTATAGGGCTAATATTAACAATCCTTCAGGAGTCTGAAGATATGTTTAGGAAGAGACTTTATGTAAAGTTATCTTTATTACAGGCAATATTGGTCCATACAATACACAATACTGACATACAAGTGGAATCTTTCAAAATCATCATTTAAACAGCAAAGACCAAGAAACAGAATTTTTAACTACTTGATTTTCAAAAAAAAGTAATACATGTCTCTCTTCCAAGATCCTTTTCAGCAAGTTATATTGAAACATACAAATAGAGAAAAATACCCCATTCAACATATATTGTAGTTAAATGGTTATTTTGCTTTAAATCTTTTAATAAGAAAATCCTTTTATTATAGCAACCTACATAGAGATAAATAGCAAACTTGTTTTAAACAAATCCTCTCCATTAAAACATCTGAAGAATTTTATCCATCATTTTCTTCTGAGCCCAAAACATCTGTTTTTAGAAGCTTACCTTAAAAAGTTTTCAGCTGAAGGACCAACACTAGGGGCTTGCTAGGCATTACAATACCACCCTTCCCGTTATTTTCCAACTTTCTTCTGTCCAACAGAAGGCGAATAAGCACGTAAGACTTCAGGTTGTGTTTTTATTATAACTTCACCATTCTGTTTCATGAGAGCACAGACAGACCTGCCGACTCCCCCCCTACACATCTACTACATTTTGTTCTTCAGGAGGAACAATACAGGCCAATAAAAGCAGAAAAAATCTGCAGCTTCTGTCACATGCTTTTGATTATTGTCAAATTCTGATTTTATGCTTCCTTCTGGCAACACAAATGCATTGTTATAGTGTTAGTTTAAATCTTTAAACAAAAAACTATATTTTCCAAAGTCATTATCATTTGGAGCAATCAAGTGATCTTTTCTGGCTTTGCTCAGCTTCATTCTTAGAACGTGTCTCCGTTCTTCCCATTCACGGAGCTCAGCAGGTCCATGTGCAAATTTACAGTTGTTTCCCTCCACACAAGTACCAGCCATATACCTGTTTAAAAGAAAGAAGTGCAAAAGGTAATGAGCAAAACGTGCTACACCCACAATGCTGGCTCAAGACATTTTGCAGCATAAAGCAGAGCACTGGATGTCCCTCCTCACCAGCAGGCGAGACCCAACCCCTCAAGAAGTCTTGGTGTTACCATCAATTCCTGTCTTCACCCAGCCCCCTAAATCCTGTCACGTGAAGCACCCTACTTCACGGCACAGCCAGCCCTGTGCAAACATGCAATTTAAAAGACTGTGTGGGGTTGCATACTTGACCTGGATGGCAGTGATGGGGAGCCTGCAGCCTTCCAGAAGATGTCGGGACTCCAGATCCCACCAGCCCCAGCCAGCATGTCAGGGATGTCAGAAGCTATAATTCAGCCAATATCTACCTGCAGAGCCACGGGTTCCCCCAACCCCTGCTGAATGGGCCTTGGATTATGAGAATCTCAGCTTCCAACAGCATATAAAGCCCCTGTTCTCCCAGTGCTAGCTGCAGGTGTCAGCCCCCACCCACTCCAAACTAATCCAGATAACCTATGTGACCACTGGTACTTTTTGGTCTCTGCCAATAACTAAAGGGGGGGGAGGATAGGAAGGAGGATAAATAGGGTTGCCTTCAGATGTCTTCTAAAAGTCAGATAGTTGTTTATTTCCTTGACATCTGATGGGAGGGCGTTCCACAGGGAGGGCGCCACTACCGAGAAGGCCTTCTGCCTGGTTCCGTGTAACCTCACTTCTCGCAGGGAGGGAACTGCCAGAAGGCCCTCAGAGCTGGACCTCCGTTGAACGATGGGGTGGAACCCCAACTCAACAACTGGCTTTGTGTCAAGATGAATACCAAGGAGTCAACATGCACCTACCTATCACAAATGCTGAAATAGCCAGTTGGAAAGCGATGCTGCCAGCAGTTTTGGTCATCTTCTGTGTGGAATACTTTCTCTTTATGCTTTTCTGAGGAGATGTGGCCTTGCCATTGTTTCTCACTGTTACAGTTCTTCCCACACATCCAGCAATGGAAGTCCACCTGGTTCAAAAACGGAAGGATGAGCCACCGCAGGAGGACAAGGCACGGTATGCAAATCTGGTTAACCTGAACAACTGATGCCATTTCTCTGGGCATGACCCGTGGAGCTTTGAAAGTGAGATTGTAGCAGGAAAGGAACAATTATTGCCCCCCTGACAGACCATTAGGCCTGTTCTTTGCCAGCTCCAGTCAAGGTGGGGCTGGTGGCGGGACAGGGGAAATGGAGCACACTGTCTGAACAAGCTTAGCAGTACACACGTAACAAAGGTGTCCACTGCTTTAAGCTTGCGATGACACCTGAGGATATGTGTGTGTGTGACTTCCCTCAACCCAAAATTAAATATATGATGGGCCTACTGTCACCTAAGGTTCCTCGTCTCTTACCGTAACTTCAGCATAATCTGTTGGCATGTGAATTTGCTTCCCATTTTCCTTGTTCGCTTGAGCAGCTGGGTCCTCCCCTTTTTCTGGCTTTTGGCTCTTCAGCCACATTTCATACAACTGCTCCATGTCTTGAACTAAGTGAGAACAGAGCTAAAATAAGTTTGCAGCAATTAAGTTAAGAGTAAGTAAACTGAGGGGACGCAGGTGGCGCTGTGGGTTAAACCACAGAGCCTAGGGCTTGCCGATCAGAAGGTCAGTGGTTCGAATCCCCGCAACGGGGTGAGCTCCCGTTGCTCGGTCCCTGCTCCTGCCAACCTAGCAGTTCGAAAACACGTCAAAGTGCAAGTAGATACCGTATTTTTTGCTCTATAAGACTCACTTTTTCCCTCCTAAAAAGTAAAGGGAAATGTGTGTGCGTCTTATGGAGCGAATACAGGCTGCGCAGCTATCACAGAAGCCAGAACAGCAAGAGGGATTGCTGCTTTCACTGCGCAGCGATTCCTCTTGCTGTTCTGGCTTCTGAGATTCAGAACATTTTTTTTTCTTGTTTTCCTCCTCCAAAAACTAGGTGCATTTTGTGGTCTGGTGCATCTTATAGAGCAAAAAATACAGAAAATAGGTACCGCTCT